TATATATATATATATACACGTGTGTGTGTGTGTGTGTGTGTGTGCGCGCGGGTTTTTGTGATTTATGAGGACACAAATTTGTATAGTGACATGGGTATGACATAGGTATTACAACAAGAAGGTGATTTATGAGGACATTTTGAGTGTCCCCATATTTCAAAAGGCTTATAAATCATTTAGAATGAGTTTTTTTTGAAAATCTAAAAATGCAGAAAGTTTTCTGTGAGGGGTAGGTAGGTTTAGGTGTAGGGCAATAGAAAATACGGTTTGTACAGTATAAAAACCATTACGCCTATGGAATGTCCCCACAATTCACAGAAACAAACCTGTGTGTGTGTTGAGCAGAAGAAAGAAATCCATACAGGTTTGGAATAACATAAGGGTGAGTATATGATGACAGAAATTAGATTTTTGGGTGGACTATCACTTTAAATAGTGGGCATCATTAATTCGTTTTTTATTTCAATCAAATATGGGAACTAATTGAATGTGGAATTAGTATTTTACTATTTTGTTTGAGTAGTATATATATATATATATACACGTGTGTGTGTGTGTGTGTGTGTGTGCGCGCGGGTTTTTGTGATTTATGAGGACACAAATTTGTATAGTGACATGGGTATGACATAGGTATTACAACAAGAAGGTGATTTATGAGGACATTTTGAGTGTCCCCATATTTCAAAAGGCTTATAAATCATTTAGAATGAGTTTTTTTTGAAAATCTAAAAATGCAGAAAGTTTTCTGTGAGGGGTAGGTAGGTTTAGGTGTAGGGCAATAGAAAATACGGTTTGTACAGTATAAAAACCATTACGCCTATGGAATGTCCCCACAATTCACAGAAACAAACCTGTGTGTGTGTTGAGCAGAAGAAAGAAATCCATACAGGTTTGGAATAACATAAGGGTGAGTATATGATGACAGAAATTAGATTTTTGGGTGGACTATCACTTTAAATAGTGGGCATCATTAATTCGTTTTTTATTTCAATCAAATATGGGAACTAATTGAATGTGGAATTAGTATTTTACTATTTTGTTTGAGTAGATGTTGCCATTTTTCCTACTACCCTTTTAACATAAAACACTGGCAATTTAATAAGAAATATTCCAGGTGTTTCCTTATTTTCTTTTTCTTTTCAAAAACATGTATTTGAATTGGTAATGATTTCATTAGTTTCCTCTTTGTCCTCAATTTGACTTAGGACACTGTTAGTCTTCTGTGAATGCCCTTTTAACAAAAGACAGGTCCTTAATTGCATTATCCTCCAGGAAGTGACCATTTTAGAGAAAGTATTAGCAACATTCCATCCTGTTGAATAAAATTATAGAAATCTGGACAATGTTTTTGTAAACTGTGAAAATTAACTTCAAGCTGACACCCTTATGTTCCTGAGCTTGACCAGAGCATATTTTTGAAATAAGAGTTACCCTTTTATAGAAATGTTTAAATGAAAGCATTTTTTGAGGGGGTTACAGAGTTTAAAAGGTACCGTATAGCAGGAATGACCCATATTCATTGTAAATGTTTCTTTGAAATGCAGAGTGAATAGGTTTTCAAAGCTCAGGAACCCACCCTGAGCACCGCTGCCGTCCTCTACCCTCCAGATATTGACAGTTTTGTCCATGGAGCCGGTGGCGATGAGAGGAGCAGTGGGGGAAAAGGCACAGGCCGTCACATACCTGTCCAACAGGAAGAGACCAATCGACACGGTTCAACGACTTACACTGAGAGTTCAGACCTCAGAAATCATGACTCACAACTCACCTATCATGCTGGTTAAGTGTGTAGAGTAAGATACCTTGGTTCTGCAAAGAACAACTAGTTATTTTAAATGTAAACATTATGCTGATGACATCCAAGCTGTCAATCATCTGTTATTTTTATTGGTTAGACAGAAATATATGATGAATATGAATGAGACTCACAGCTTGATACACAGTCACGGTCTTATCCACCGATCTGTGAAAGAAAAGAGAGAGTGACATTTAAAAGGCATGAGTCAGACAAGCCCTCTATGGCCTTTATGTGCAGTAAAACTGAGCCTGTCTGTCTGCTGACACACAGTGGAAGAAGAATCAGTTTCTGCAGAGATTGTTAGCAAACAGACTTCAGAACCAGCGCTCATCGATGCTGATGTCTGTGATTACACAGCACCACCCAGTGGACAACAATTGAACTGCAAGGAATGGATCAACACACATTTACATTATTTACATTTATGCATTTGGCAGATGCTTTTATCCAAAGCAACTTTTCCCTGGGAATCAAGCCCATGATCTTAGCATGTTTAGTGCCATGAGCAAAGTAAGGCCAGATAATCTTTTTTAATTTACCTAAAGGTAGCTAATTTTTCAATGTTGATAAAATACTTTTTGTATTCCATCTTTACAGTGGAAGTTCAGGTATTTGTGTGCATTACTGACCCTGACACCAACATCTGTCCATCAGCAGAGTAAGCACAGGACAGAACTGGAGCAGACTGACCCATCAGAGAGTGAGCGAGCTGCATCTTAATGCCTGTGGATCAACAAACATCAATCACAAACACACGCACTAAAAACACAGAAGACACAGGTGGGCAGGTATCAGATGGTGCTACCTGCAGCAGACAAAAGAGAAACAATCCATATCTTCAACAGACTGTCCTGTCCACATGAGGCCAGCCGAAACTGAACGCAGCCATCTGGGCCTGTGAAAGAGAGACAGAGAGAGTTAATAGTTTACTTTTGTTCATTTAACCAGCGGTTCATCCTAAGAAGACATTAGAAGAAATGTTACGAAAGCTATTCTGAAAATATTTTACAGGTTGCCAAAACTACAAGATCATAATATGAAGTAGTCGAGCTACAGTCAAGTTACACTTTTGAAAAAGTATCTATTACCATTTGTGGTCTGTCTTTTTTTTTTTTTTAAAGAAGTCTCTGATGCTTATCAAGGCTGCATCAAAAATACAGTACAAACTGTAATATTGTGAAATATTACAATGTAACTTTTTTCTGTTTTCATATATTTTTAAATGTAATTTATTCCTGAGATGGCAAAACTGAATTTTCATTTTCCATATTATCAGTGTTGAAAACAATTGTGGTGCTTAATATTTTTGTGGGAAAATGTGACACTTTTATTACAGGATAATTTCAGCCAAAAGAACAGCATCTACTTGAAACCGAAATCATTATAAATCTCTTTGCTGCCACTTTTGATCAATTTATTGTGTCCTTGCTGAATAAAAGTATTAATAAAAAAAAGTACTGACACCAAACTTACGTGGTAGTGTAAATTTCAACCATTTACATACAATATCATCAAAAGTGTTTAAACATGGTATCTCTTTTTACAATCAGAAGTATCTGACAAACAATGTGAACCTAAATTAGGGTGACAGCATTAAACAGAATATAAATAATGATAAAACATGATTTAACTGAATATCTAGCTACAATAAAGACATAAGCACTTAAATGAATTGGTGAATTGTATACTTGATCAGTGAATCTGTTTATTTATTAACTGTGCAAACAAATCAGTTCACTAAAATTAATCTGACTTTATGAATCTACATTTAGGAGAGTGTGTCTGGGCCCGGTTGCATGAAAGCCCTTATGCTAAGAAATCCCTTAGTTATAAGGTTAAGGGAGTCCTTAGTGAAACGTGGGTTGCAAGAAAAAAACCTAAGGGTCAACTTAAGGAACCTTAAGGCTGCCATTAAGTATTACCCTTAATTATTTAAGTGTTCCCTTAAGTGTTTCTACACAGTCCTTAGTAACCATTTCACCTTAATAAATTTAAGGGACCAAACGAGCTTCCTTAAGTCATCTTAAACTCAGTATCTGCAGGATTTTTAAACTCAAATGTAAGACTTAAGACATATGAGCGCAGTAGGGCAATGACTATGGTAACATATTAAACTGTAAAATGACTGTAAAAAGCATGACTTACAGGTTTTCACAAAACAAAACGTTTTATATACATTTTTAAGTAAATGGACGAGTTGTATCAATTATGATATCAATTTAAACAATTATTATTAATCAATTATTACATTAAATAACAATATAAATATAATTTGTCTTAATTGTTTAGATTTTTATAATGCATTATCTTGTCGGTCCACCTGCTCACATTTACAACTCTGCGTGTTTGCAGTATCAAAACATGGGTTCATTTTCACATTTGGTAAATTTTCCGTCATTGGTCAGCAGGAGGTTTCCCTAATTACTTATCACAATATACTGATATCACAAATACCGACGAATGGGACGAGACCTGGTTGAGCTGCACTAGAGAAGGTAACGGATTTTATCACTATGTCGCAGACGAACTTAGAGTGAATACAATCATCCAGGATTTAAATCGCGCTCAAATTGATTTGATTTTGATGCAATATTTACACTGAAGCTCGCAGGCGGCTATGGTAAGGGGCGTGACATTTCCCGACCAGGCGCCGAGTGGTGCCAATCACAACACACACTGGTCCAGCTAACCAATCACAGCACATGTCGTATTTCAGAAGGCGGGCCTTCATTTGATACAGGAACTATTCGAGCCGTTCATGCCAGACTGGGGAGAAAGGTGTTGTAATAATGTAAAATATGTGAAAAATAATCTGTTTTTCGAACAACCTAGTATGAGAGCCTGTTCTAGTACACCCCCAATACAAAATCAAGACTTTGTAAAAGAGCATAATAGCACCCCTTTAAGGACTTTCATGCAACCGGGCCCTGATTATTACTTAAGCTGATACAGCAAGGAAGTGTTTCGAAACTTATCAGAATAATTGAAATCCAGGAATCGTACCCTTCATTATCTGGGGAGCAAACTGACAGCAGGAGACCCCGAGGTCATGGGCGTTCTTCTCCGCATGGAGATGGTTCATATTCAGGTCCCACAGTCGCAAGTCACCATATGTGGAGCCGGTGATGAACAGCTGACCGCTGGGAGTGAAAGAGCAGGCCACTATACTGGTGTCAGTCACTGCGCCCGTCCTAAACAGCACCATACACAAGTGTCAATCAAACACTGGTCTGGTCTGGTGCAGTGCAAATAAATCTATACTTTTCTATACACTATCATACAAAAGGAATTAATTTATTCACTATTAAAAAACCTTGTTAAAAATTAAAAAGAAAGAAAGGAATAAATTAAATAAATAAATAAATGACTTGATAAAACAATAATTATTAACACATTAATTAACAATTAATTTTAATTAAATTTGGTCCTATTTTTATATTACTTTCCCCTTATTTATTTTTTCTGTAATTATTTTTGAAGTTATTTATTTAGTTTTTATTTATTATACATTATTATGTTTATTTGTTTTACATTTATTTATTCCCACATGTATTTATTTCCATATTTAAATACTGCCACATTTATAAATAATAAAATAACTGCCAAATATTGATTTGAATGTGCTGACAGCATCAGAAAAACAACATTTTAACTGAATTGAGCTGGATGATAACACTGATGATGGTGTCTTCTGTAGAACTGCTTTATAGCTGAATCAAATTAGTTTAATAATTGACTCATTTCACAACATCAACATTATTATTGAACTGAACTGAATCAACATTAAACTGACTTGAGCTGAATAATGATACTACTGTCTTTTTAAGAGCTGGGGCCCGTTCTTCGTATATATATATATATAGTATTTATAGAGTTTTAGCTTTTAGTTTGAATTACTTCTTCTTATTTGTAAGTCGCTTTGGATAAAAGCGTCTGCTAAATGACTAAAAGTAAAAGTAAAGTCAAAGTAAATAGGCCTATCTAGCAATGAAAAGCTGATGTACCTGCGCAGTGTCCTGGAGGTAAAGTCCCACAGTGCGATGGTCCCATCGGACCCTCCAGATACCAGGTAAGATGAGTCAGGAGAGAAGGCGCACACCCTCACCGGACTCCGGCCCGGATGCTCCAGGACGGCCTCGATCTCTCCGGTGTCCATCGACCACACCACGGTGGTGGCATCAGTGGAGCAGGAGGCCAGGTACTGACCGCAGGCGCTGAAGCAGCAGCAGTGCACCCCGTAGCCGTGTCCGGACAGCGGGGAGAAGGGCAGCTCGCTGAAGTCTCGTGTGGAGTAAACGCAGATGCTCTTATCAGCGGAGCAGGTGGCCAGCAGAGAGCCGGAGAACGCGCAGCAGTTCACATCATCTCGATGACTTTGTAAGGTGCAGACCAGAGACACCATGTTTGTGTTTATGTCTTGTTGTCTGACTGGTCCCTTTAAAAACACAGGAAGAGGAAGTGTCTGACGTAACGGACAACACCATTCACCTTTCGTCTTTCTAACACTAAAAGCTGGAGTTTGACCCATTATTCGACACAGTCAAACCACTTGACATTACAAACGTGCTTCGCGAGTTGTTTAAACTGACGAAAAACATGATGTAATACCTCTGGTCACCCCTAGACAGCATTCTGAAACTATCCAGTATCATGTTTAATAGCCCAGTATTACGTTTCAATATATTTTATGTATTGTTATTGTTTGTCAAATGTAATCTGTGTTCGAAGACATGACGCACCTTTCGCGAGCGCTTCCTGGTCCTGTCACGTGACTTTCAGGGACCCCACGTGGTTTTTGTTTACAGCGCTGCATTTAGGAGACTGCTGTAAACAGTGTTGCCAACTTAGCAATTTTGCTGCTACATTTAGCAGCTTTTCAGACTACCCTAGCAACTTTTTCTTCCAAAAGCACCTAGCAACAAATGTAGCTATTTTTTTTACATTTATTTGGCAGCTTTTAGCAACTTTTGATAAGTGACTCAAACGATAAAAAGGCACAATTGACCATTTCAATGACATAAAAAGAGGAAACCAAAGATGCCTAGCAGTACACACGTTACAGGAATCAAGTTAGCTGCTATTTGCAAGTGTTTCATTTAATAGTAATAATAATAATAGTAATTGAATCCTGTTATTTTTCATTTATGAGACACTTTGTTAGTAGCTTGTACCTGTGATTGTTGATGAGTTAGTACACTGTAAGAAAAATATGCAGAAAAGTGGAAAAGCTGCTAGTAATTTTCCAGGACATTATCCGTTACCCGTTGTAACCCGAAAACACAAAATACAATGCGTAATTAAAAATGCAGGTACAAAAACCTGTGGAAAAATCAATCCAGAAAATTCCTTCATATTAACACAGTAGATTGTGCATTCTTTTTTTGACTTTTCTTAGAGTGCAGCATGCTAACTAACTACTAATAAACTGCTTTAAAGTATAAAACTTAAATTGTAATCGTTCAAAAATGTGTACGTTTTCGATAATTCAATGAATTAAAAAAGTTATTTATATTTTAATATTATATTATGCATTTATATTGCTACGAACAAATCTAAATGAACATATATAAAATATGTTTTTGCTGAGATTTGACACAATTTTGCACGTAATGACGTCATCACAACATCATTTAGCAACTTTTAGCAACAAATCAACCTTTCCTTTAGCAACTTCCCCTGAAAATTAGTTGGCAACACTGGCTGTAAATGTGTGCATTTGCTCATTTCGTGCACAGCCATATTCAATTTTATGCACTTATTTGTGCAATTAACATTTTCATTCAATGTTAATAATTGTAACAAAATAACATTTTATTACTATGATTTTTTTCTCTCTCGCTGTTGGAGACGAATAGACAAATATTTATGAGGATTGGGGAAAAATACTGAAAAGAGGTCCCAGCAAATACCAGGGTCAAGTGATCTGGTATAAAACTCACCATTTGGCAGCAGTGCAAAGAAGCTTGCTCACCTTTGAGTAAATCTAATATCTTTTACAATTCATTTTCATGGCGAGACAAACTGTAAAATTTGTCAAGTGTCCTAATGTGTTGGAAAATAGCAATTTTAGCATATTGTTGTTGTTGTTATTGCTGCACATTTAAGGGTTAAACACTCAATAAAAGGACGTGCATTAATATTTAAAAATGTTTAAATAAATTAATATAATTTTTTGGTTGCTGCCCATTTAAGGGTTAAACTCTTGAACAAAAAATGGTGAATACAAGTATTTCATACAAATTTAAAAATGTTAATAAAAAAAAGAAGCTTTTTTCTATAATAACATGACCCGTAAAATGAAAGAAAATTAGACCACTGCCCATGGGAAAAGGAATAAAATAACACATTAGACACTGTCTGGATTTAAAAACATCCTTTTAATAAGTCCGTGCCAAACATCCACACACTCGCACAAACACACGCTCGCACTCTCACGTACACACACACACACACACTAGTGAAAAATAATGCTTCTACAAAAAGAACGCTACCATTTGTTTCCCACAATATCTTTAAATAAAATAACTTCAAGTACTCTGACGCAGGTACAAAAAAAACTCTGTTCTATCTGCCTCCAGTGGGCCACGATGCACGCGGGAGACTCAGACACATGTGGTTACAGAACGCCTGCTGTCCATCTCAGAGCGCCTCTGGGGCCAGCGATACTGAAGAATACTCCAACAGTTTTCATATGGGTTCAGATAAGAGTTTCGTACAGTATGCCTTTGAGTGGAGGCCTTGATGTGTTTTGTATAAGAAAACAATAACATTACAAAAAAGGGGAAAAAACTAAACAAAACGAGAAGGAACAAATTAATTTTCCCTATACCCTGTTCTGAAGGGCAGGCACTACTAAGATTAAGGAGACCACAGTGTTTTGTAGAGGATATGTATATACTGTACAAACAATAAATGCATATTATTAATCACTTTAAGACTAAAATGAATTGCTACAAACGTTCTAAGGCATAAACAATATCCAATGTCTGAAACAATATGTACACATCATTCCAAACAAGACTCAATATATTGACATTAATAGACAGTATGTACACATGGGTGCCTCCTGCTTGTCTGTGTGTGTGTGTGTGTGTGTGTGTACAGTGATGCCATTAGTTCACGTTCAGAGGGTTGAATACTCTGATGCCACATGGCACAGAACAGTGTAAACAGTTTTTTTTCTTGGCTTGGTTTCATATTTGGAGAGGAAAAACACAAACAAATAAACATTCCATTAGATCTAAAGCGGTTTTGCTGTTTCTTCCTTTTCATAGAAAATGAAGAGTGGACCTTTCTTTTATTTAGTCATAAATAATCATTTAAAAAATTAAATACATTCACTATAATATTAACGATAAAGTAAAAATACAAAACCAAAATAAAAAGATATTTACAAGTAGTGGAAAGGGACCTTTCTCCTTAGTACAGCTCTGATGGTTGAAATTTCAGTGCGATTTCTCTTTTCTAGAAGGAAATGGTATTGCACAAAGACACCCGCTGTCTTGTGTCTCTTTGGGTGTTGATGTGGGATTGGTCGGTCCTGAAGGCTCCGTGTCGTAGAAAGAGCTGAGACTTGTTTTGAGCCCCGGTTGCAGGTTTGAAATGACAGCCCGTGGTGGTCCGAGACCACCTCAGTTAGTTTGCTTCAGCAGCTCAGTCCACCGCTTCTCAAAGAACTTCCTCATGTTGTGCCCGGCTCGGCCGATGTCAGAGTTGTCCTCGTTGAACTTCTCGCAGTTGTCGAACACCAGGTTGACATCAATGATGAACGTTTCTAAATTCTGATACCTAAAAATCAGAGAAAAATATTCAAGGACTGCATCTGCATCTCATTATTAATGAATCATGAAACACTAAAACATTTGTTTTTTAGCGTTAGGATATGTATGTGTTACATATAAAGGAAGACAGTGCTATCTATATTTTACTGTTGAGAGGTAAATAGTTTTTTTTAGTCAATTTAAAAAAATTATTTTAAAGTTAAAAATATTTTATTTGAGGATACATGTAACATAACCTATATTTGTTGTCATTTTATTGATAGGCATATTATTCTCATTTGTAAAGTGTATTTTTTTTTAAATAGGATTTATTTATTTACTTCATTTGTTTTATTCATATTTGATGTATATTTTAGTCATTTATTTTAGTGGAAATGATTTAAAATGGTACATGATAAAAAAAAACAGTGCATTCATTTCATTAGTTTTAAAAAGGGAAAAGGGAAAATGGTTTATTTAGGCATTTACGTTTTTATAAATTGATATTATTTTTAATAATACATGGAGCATAATCTATATTTGCAGTTTTTTTTCTTGTTATGGATATTATGTTCATTTGTAAAGTCTATATTTTTGTGCATTCGTTTATTTTTTTCTTATTAATATTTATTTTATTCCAGAGCATTAACAAAAAAAACTTAATACATAAAATAATTTTCCAATAAAATGCTTAAATAAAATGTTTTTAACTACATATATTTAATTTGATATGATTTATGAAAGTATTTATTAAAATACTTGTAAGAATTATTAAATAAGTATAAAAAAAAATATTTTGGTTAATTTTCCATCTTCCAGTATTTCATGCCCCCTTCCCCCGCCAGTATGCAGCTTTTACTTTTTTGCATTTTTCAAATCCACGTGAGAGACACTTACTGGCTACTGACGAGTTTTTCACGGATAGTGGAGAAGTCCATAGGTTTTTTAATGACTTTGCGGTACCCTGGTACAGATTTGAGGTTAACCGGTGTGAGGAAGGGCCGGGCGTCCTGATGACGTTCCAGTTCAGCCAACAGAATCCTGAGAAATTCAAATGTACATGAGAGCTGCATTTAAAAACCATTCCATGTCCAGGAATACACAGAGAAAATAACAGAATGCAGGCGGCACCTGCAGAGGCCCAGGTCCCGGTTGTTGTCTCTGGCTGTTTTGGCTCTTTTTACACAGGCAGGGCTGTCTGGTTTGGGTGCTGGGGGGGTGGAGAGGTTCTTCTTGGACTGAGTGGCGGTGGCAGCTGCTTTCTTTGGGGTGCTGTTGTTGCTGCTGTTGGCTTCTTCTTCTTCACACGTCTCAGTCTGCTTCTTGCTTTTCTTGGCTGCTTCTGTCGCCTTTTTTCCTCCACTGGCTGGTGGTGTACGATTCGGAGTCTTCCTAGATTTAGGTGGCTGACCGCTTGCCTGAAAGTGTGTACAGGACTAGTTCAGATTTACAGGTTCATTATGCTACACGTAACACATTTACAACACATTAACATACATGAAAAAACACTTAATAACACTCCAAATAAGTCAGTGAACACAGTACACATCACTGCTCACAGTGCTAGACTAAATAATTAGAACTCATTAGCACTTGCAGTCACTTTCAGTCATTTCCACAGATCCACAGAAAACACATTTTATCATTATTTATACTACTACTACACTATTATTCTTATTAATGTTGTTTACTATTATTATTATTATTAATGCAAAAGGGGGTATGCAATGCATATCTTTTTAATAGACTAGAGTTTGAATAGAGTTTGGGGCAAAAAAATCTATTTCAAATAAATGCTATTCTTTTGAACTTTCTGTTCATCAAAGAACACTGAAAAAAAAAAAATGTACCACGGTTTCCACAAAAACACTATACTTTTTTAATAAGCAGCTCAACTGTTTTCAACATTGATAATAATATGAAATAATTCTCGAGCACCAAATCAGCATATTAGAATGATTTCTGAAGGATTATTTGACACTGAAGACTGGAGTAATGGCTGCAGAAAATTCAGCTTTGCATCACAGGAATAAATAAAATGTTAAAATATATTAAAATATTATTGATTTTACTATATTTTTTATCAAATAAATAATACAAATAAAAAACGTTCAAAAACATTAAAAAAAAAAATAGACTGAAATCTCAAAGACATAAGCGCATCTTCTCAGACACATAGCTCTGAAAACATGCGCCTCAGCAAATGAGCACTTGTACTCGTAATGATGTGAACTGGAGGCGGTTACCTTGGAGATGCAAGCAGGGCAGTACCAGTCTCCCTCTGGGATGTTGGTTATCTTGGGTTTGTGGCAATAGGTGTGACACCCTTTATCACAGCCGTCACACAGCAAAAGCAGGTCTTCATTATCGCCCTTTCGGCACATCTGACAGTACTGAAAACACAAACAGGCATATAAGTATGGAAACTATAACACTGTATACTGTAGATATATAACAAATACACTTCTAGACAGTGACGCCTGTGGTTTGTGTATGACATCACCTACCACTTTCATGATGGACCTTTCCCAGGCGATGGATTTCTGGAGCTGCTGCAGACACATGGCCAGCTGAGAGGAGCTGCGTAGCTCATTCAGAGCTTTCCGCCACAGCTTCATCCCTGGAGCAATCTCTTCCTCTCCCCTGCAACACACAAAAGCACAACGCACAGATCAGAGAGGGGGTTTATTTCAAACCTGTAATTTGTCCTTAATGTTTCTGTTAGATTGAGCAGCTGAGACCCTGAGCTTTCAAAAGCACACACATAAACACACACACACAGATGTACAGCCTATATAGTGTGATACAATTCTGTGGCATGACTTAAAAGCCATACATGAAGACGGAGATCTGTGGTGTACCATGCACTTAGAAGTATCAGAAAACAAATCAGCTTTTGATGTTTTCAAACTCCATCTGTGCAATGCTGATTAAAACCATGCAGCCAAAAACAGGAAGGGTGCAGGCGAGGGAGCGAGAGGAAGAAAAAAAAAAAAAAACACACAGCACGACAACCAAAAACCCGAAACTGGAGCCAGGGTGAGAACGGATGAACGGGTATTTAAAAAATATATATTTTATCACATTAAAATATATATCTTATATTGTAATAATACATACTTGTTCTGTAAAAATAAAAAGCAGAATTTAATAATCATGATAATAATATAATATAATTGGTCAATTTGATAAAAAAAAGAAAACAGCAATATTGTAAAAAAAAATATTAATTTTACAATGTAATTTAATCCTGTGATGCAAAGCAGAATTTTCTGCATCATTACACCAGTATTCAGTGTTACATGATCTTTCAGAAATCATTACAATTTGATTTGATGCCCAAGAAACATTTCTGATTATCAATGTTGAAACAGTTGTGCTGCTTCATATTTTGTGGAAATTGTGATACATTTTATTTTTCAGGATTTTTTGATCAATTGAAAGTTCAATGAACAGCATTAATTTGCAATTATCAAATATGTTTATTAAATTTAATAAAGCATTTATTAAATATAAATCTTTTGTAACACTTTAAATGTCTTCACTCACTTTTCATCACTTTAATGTATGATGAATAAAAAAATGAATAAAATAAAAAAATACAAATCTTACCACAAAAGTTTGTGTGGTATCATTGTTTCCATAAAAATGTTAAGCAGCAAAAACGGTTTTAACACTGATAATAATAACTAGTAAATGTTTTTTGAGCAGCAAATCAGCATATTAGAATGATTTCTGAAGGATCATGTGACACTGACTCTTTGTAAACAACAACAGATTTATAAACGAAGCTAATGATGAATGTTGTGTTCCCAAATGCAAATTAAAGCGACTCTAACGCAGTAGTGAATCGAAACTGAAAACACAGTACTGTTACAGCAGACATGTAGCGTGTCAGACTATAGCCTAAATCTATATAATTCCATCACAATCGTTGCTAATTTTATAATAGAATGAAGCAATCTCAAATTCTCACCACCACTGATAAAAACGTTACCGGGTGAGTAATCCCTCAGATTTTTTCCCCCAGAAGAATTCCATCCCTGAATTTAGTTTTGTTATGAGTCTTACATGGATTTCATTTAAAAAGAAATATGCAGTATGAAGGTCTTTTTCCATCATTTTATGACACGTGGGCTGTTGTATGTTTGTATGTGTACTGAAATCAATACACTGAACAGAATGAAACTACTGGAAGGTCAAATTATGTAAATGTGTTAATATGTTAAAATGTGTTAACAATGGTAACTAAGCTATCTCTGGCGGTCTTGGTCTTTTGGTCTGTTTGAACTTTTTCCATGGCTACATCTGTAAGCTAAAACACACACAGACACATTGTGTTATTTCTTAGAGACTCAACTCACCCTCTCGGTTCTTGTTACAGGTCTGTGCAATGAGATCCATGGATTTCTGCAGCTGCTTCTGCAGGGCTCTCTCTCGGATGCCTCTGCTGTGGAGAGCATTCACTAGCGCTTTCAGCTTCTCCATGTCTGTTACCTTCCACCAGCCCAGCAGCATGTCTGCCAATCAGCCAAAACCATTACTGTCAACAACCCCAAACAAAACTGGACTAATGACACATTGTTGTTGAGAATTATGGGTGAATCTTACAGACTAAAAGTGCATCATTATTATTTAACAACTAGTAGAAGTAGTTAAATAATAATAGTAGATGGAAGTAGCAATTGACCCTTCGCAAAGAGCTTGATTGACAGGCGATCTGACCAATCATAACACTGAATTCGCCATTTTGTGCGACAAACAAATCAGACAGGAGAGTAGGTTAACTTCGGTGGACTTAAACATGAAAAATTGTGTGTATTGACGTCTTTCCACAGTTGAAAATAAAATATGTTCTGATGTTCATTCATGTTTATTTCGTGCTTTAAGTAAATATGAAAAGACGAGCGGTTCATGTACCGCTTAAACTGAGGCAATACAGCGATCTGTCATGACATATTAAAGATATGCACAAAACGGTATATATTGTTTGAATTTCTTAAAATACCAGAAGTAACCTGTTCTGTCTTTTCTGTCGGCGTGTTGTCAGTTTCCTCTTTGCTCTGCAATGTATTTTTTACTGCGTGAGAACATGGCTTGTCAGACATAGCAACAGTAACTAAAGAGGGCGGGTTTATGCGAAGGGTCAATTGTAGGTGTGATTTCTGAGTGAATTACTTGACTGTACAGCACTTACTCTCTGGTATGGGCAGGGGTTTGGGGTGGTCGTGATTCCTAGGAAGGTCCAGTGCCATTGGAGAAGGAACAGACGTAAGCTTCTCCACAGTGGGAACAGGAGAACCACTTTTGCTGGTTGAGACGCTGGGTGCTAGCAGGGGGCTGGCACTGCCCTCCACTGAGGGGTACATGTGCAGGGGGCTGCTACATTGGGGGAGATTGGGGCTGATGACCCCACCGGACCAGTTACCCAAAGGCAAACCAATCAGAGCTCCACCTGCCTTCACCTGGGAGGAGATACATGATGAGCAACCATATCATTTAGATTAGTGCATCTCAACCAAGGGGCTGGGTCCCACTAGGGGGCCTCTTCAAATCTCCAAGGGGGTGTCAAGATTATTTAAAATAGGAGAAAACAAACATAAAAATCAAGATTTTTCTTATTTTAATTCACCAACTCAACAACTGTTTGGAAAAACCTATGAGGAAGCCTAATTTTAAATTTGTGATTTCTAGACCTGGAAACAAAATCGTAAAACGCTGTGAGAATTTTTATAATAAATGCAAATTTTTCTACTTATTCCAAGCGAAAACATTTTATCAGGTAGAAATTACAAAAAAAAATTAAAATTGTATTCTCATACTTAATCTTTATCCAGTAAATCATGAATAGCTGGTACAGTCAAGGGGTCTTTGAATATTGTTGTGGACAATGAAGGACTTTCAAAAAGGTAAGAGCCTCTGATTTAGAGTTGAGCCACGAGCCACACAATTTAGAAGAAATATTAGACACTTGGTCTAATATTTTTTATTTTTGTCTGTATGTCATAGAAAGTCACATAAATGAAATAAGAAGGTGCAATCAGTTAACTGTATGATATTATAACATAAATGTGATCGTTATTTTAAATTAATTGTGTTTTATTTTCAGAATTTTTGGTTTCTGATTTTCAATTCGTTGCAACATTAAACAATCACAACCAATCAGAACATGTTCGAACATTCACATCATCATAACACTTGGGCATATTTCATGAAGCCATGTGAAGCAAGACTTTTGAACCACTGAGATATCACTGTCGGTTGAGCTACCCAAAATAACGTGAAAGAAATTGAATCCAAACAACTAACAAATTGTCTTGATTAGGACAAAAGCTCTGATTAACATGGAAGAGATTTATTGTTTGTCTCTTTATCATGCTGGACACTGTAAATATGAAATATATCTCAAGTAGGATGGGTAATTACCTGCAAACTGAGGTTGCTGATTCCACCCGGTGAGGGGTTCAGAGGGCTTGCAGACACAGAAAGAGGAAGCAGACATCATAACACTTGGGCATATTTCATGAAGCCATGTGAAGCAAGACTTTTGAACCACTGAGATATCACTGTCGGTTGAGCTACCCAAAATAACGTGAAAGAAATTGAATCCAAACAACTAACAAATTGTCTTGGTTAGGACAAAAGCTCTGATTAACATGGAAGAGATTTATTGTTTGTCTCTTTATCATGCTGGACACTGTAAATATGAAATATATCTCAAGTAGGATGTGTAATTACCTGCAAACTGAGGTTGCTGATTCCACCCGGTGAGGGGTTCAGAGGGCTTGCAGACACAGAAAGAGGAAGCAGATGATGGTGCAGAGAGGAGGTAGATGGTGGAGGTGGAGTTTTGGGCCGTGTGCTGGCGGTGTTGCTGCAGGGCGAGGACTGCGGGTGTGCAGACGGCTGGATGAGGGAGGTGTCGTCGCAGGGTGAGCGAGGCAGCAGGCTGAACCAGTGCCCGCTGCGCTCACTGAGGACCTTGAGCAGCTGGTCATTGGCCAGGAGCTGAGTCTGCGCCAGCTGCTGCGTCTGCAGGATGTGCGCAGGGATGCCCAGCTGCAGAGGAGGAGGGACTGTGTGCTCTGCGCTTGGGCTGCTGGCCTCTGTCAGCTTAGAGGTAGTTGGAGAGTGAGCTGGAGATGATGCTGATATAGTTTCCATTGTGGGGCAGCCATTGTGGGTGTGGCAGAGTCCCTTGGCTTTGACAGGTGTGTGAGGCAATTCCTGACACTGGGGGCTTTGTGAGGGGCGGAGTTCTGGTGGTTGAAGGGGCGTGGTCACAAGCTCTGTTTCCTGCTGTTCTTTTAGTGGGGAGGAGCGCATCTCTTTATTTGCCTCCTGATCAGGATCGATGGGCTTCTCCTCCTCCTGTTTCACCTCCTCCTTCACAGCCCCCTGTATCTCCTCATGCTGGTGATGCTGCAGAACTTCCTCGGGCTCCTCTTTGACCTGCACAACTGGAAAGTTTCTCAACCTCTCACGCTCTTTCTCCAGCTCCTTGACCCCTACATGAGAGACAGAAGGAAAACATAATTAGTGGCTGTACGCAAATGCATTTATGGATAAACGGAGGGATGGGTAGATACTCACCTTCTCCACTTTCTAACCCCTCTATGTAAACCCCTCCACACTGTGGGAGGACCCAGTATCTGCGGCGGTACCGGTCCTGCCCGTATGACATGGACCGCAGGGCATGAGATGACTCAAACAGTTTCCGACGGATCAGGTTTTGCTGCTGTACTCACACAGAAATACACATTAGTGGGTCTTTGTGTGGGACTGTATATGTAATTATGATAGGGCTGCACAATTAATTGATATAAAACCGTAATTGCAATATGGCTTAGTGCGATTATAAATTCATAAAGGCTGCAATTTATTTAAATAAATAAAGTGCAGCACTGTGTTCATTTACACACGAGCAGCTCATGTCCTGGTGTTTTCAATGTCTCAGAGCGGCTTATTTTCATATCTGCTTTCAGTTTGGTAATTTAAAATGTGCATTTGGGACGCAACATGAGCCAACCACCTTATAAATCGGCTATTATCAACAAAAGAGAAGCTTTGAGGGCTCCCTGCATTTTTCTGCCAAAATTGATGGTTTAACCTTTGAAAATTAAAACATAAATATTAGTTTTACAGTTTCCGTAAGTTATTATTTAATAGTATTACTAATTATATACTATATTATTATAATTATAATCAATATTTATATTTTATAGTTATATTGATATAGAAGTCACAAAAGTTTGGGCTAAATTGCATAGCTGTACAAGCACAGTAAACCTGGACCTTTCTGAAAAACAAAAATTAATTGCATCCACACATTTTAACAGAAAAATTGCAATTCGATTTCCCCCCCAAATCATACAGCCTTAAATTATGAGATTTGAATTTACCTTTGATAATTTCTCAATCTGTTTCTCCAGCTCTTCAACACTTGTGGCTGGGTCTCCCTCATCCTGACACAAACACATATACAGGCTCAATCAATATAAAAAGTCTGCTAAAGACAGGTAAAGTAATTTCTGTATGAAACTGCAGGCGAAATGAACGCCTTTTACCTCATCGCACGTCTCCACCTTTTTTCCCTTTTTAGCCTCTTCCTCCTCCTCATCTTCATCTTCATCCCCTGCGTCCTCACTGTCATCATCTTCATCTTCGTCATCTTCACTATCCCCAGCCTTCCTCTTGCGCTTGTGACCAATGGCGGAGCCGCCCACAGCCTGAGGTTCCTCCCCTCCAGTGATTGCTTCACGTTTCCCTGTCCGTTTAGCATAGATTGTTTTCATTCTGCATGAACATAAATACTGATTAGATAGAGACAAAACTAAGATATTATGTACATTTAATGCACAGGAAAACATTGCCTAGTAAGATGCCTCGAATCAAATGTTTGAACACATCTATTTTAGCTAAAAATGCTGTCTAGGTAGAGAAGTTCTGAAATACAGTCATTATGTTCATATAAATCAGCAGTAAATATGATGACTCACTTCTTCAATTTGCCCTCCACGATACACTCGTCCTTCCTTAGCACGTTCATGTGCTCCAGGCTTTTGTCGATCTCACTGCAAAAACACAAACACAAACAGTTCCGTACTGCCGTAGATACCAGTGTTTTAATATTATTAATGTATTATAGTTACTATTATTATAGTTTTTATTAATAATTTAAATTAGCCTTTGATTTTTCATTTATATACTAAAAAAACTCTATATTAAAAGTATATCACTATCAATGTTTTCTTTTTCTTTATTTCAGTTTTAGTTAGTTCAGTCTTTAGTTTTTTTTTTATTCCCAGTTACTAATTTCCCAGTAAACAGACAGACATACATAAATGTTATTTCAGATTTTCTACAAAAATGTTTTTGGCCAGCAGCATGTCTGCCAATCAGCCAAAACCATTACTGTCAACAACCCCAAACAAAACTGGACTAATGACACATTGTTGTTGAGAATTATGGGTGAATCTTACAGACTAAAAGTGCATCATTATTATTTAACAACTAGTAGAAGTAGTTAAATAATAATAGTAGATGGAAGTAGCAATTGACCCTTCGCAAAGAGCTTGATTGATTTTTTTTTTATTCCCAGTTACTAATTTCCCAGTAAACAGACAGACATACATAAATGTTATTTCAGATTTTCTACAAAAATGTTTTTGGTTTAGTTAATAACCCTGGTACATACATGACATATATGTGAGATAATGATGAGCTCAAGCGTTTGAGGTTGTGTTCATATGCATTAAGTGTTCAAAGCTCTGTGACCGTCACACTATCTGTGACCTCTCCACCGCCTGTTTATTCCCTATTATTTCAAAATGAATTAATATTTCATAGTGCCCTGGCAGGCCTGATAGTCCAAACATGAATCATTTGAGTTTAAGAATGTCTTGCATTGGTGTAATTAGTTGATTTTGAATTAATGTTGAAAGGGGTGTGATATGGTTCTCAAAAAAGATGCTGTTTGTTTAAAGTTAACTAAATAATTCCCTGCCTCATTTTAAAACATCTCGTCACCCTATGCAGTTAATGGTCTATGCATATAACAATAACTTTAAGCATATAACATTGTTAACTTTCAAAATCGGTTGATTGTTCTTTATGAATTATTATTGTATCCAAGTTGAAAAATTATGTTGTGTTGTGATAACTTACAAAAAATGCCATTGTGTATAACAGATGTGTTCAGTACCAACGTAAAAATCAACCAAGTCATCAAGAATCACTGCAGCTGAACTCTGAAAACATAAGTGGAATTTATTGGTTCTTACCTGACCACGCTTTTACTGCATGACAACTCATTTACCAGGAAGGCCAGGACAGAGGCTTTCTGAGCTGGTGTGTGGGCCTGAAAGGCTTTGGTCCGCAGACTCGCAGCAAGATCAGCTAGCTCAGTCTGAGAGGAGTGAGCCTCCATGTACAGCTGCAAAACCTCAGACACGTTGTCCCGATTCAGACCCACATTGGTCAGGTGGTCACCCAAGATAGACTTAGCCTGATGGAGAAAAGGGAACAGTTGCAATTCTGCTAACCCTTTTAACCAAAGATAGACAGATCATTCATATGCAGTGGCACATTGACTTAGGTATTGATTTATGTGGTTCATTAAACCAGAGACTCTTTCCTCGATTAAATTTGATCACAAGCACTCACAGGAGACGCCTGTTAATATCAGATGTAAACAGAAATGTGTCTCTGCTGAGCACTGATCACTTGAGACAGATGTTAATAGCAGGTGTAAACAGGCCTGAAAGTACACTTATTACAGCGACAATCACACTGAAGTAATCTCCAGGCATTTCCTCCTCACCCTGTGTCCTTGAGGCAATCCTGGGTCAGACACAGCAGACGAGAGAAGCCGGACCAACAGGTCCTGCACTTGCCCCATGCTGTTGCCCAGGTTGAGCAGTCCCTCCTGCAATATACCCAGAGTGGGCATTTCTGAGGGATCCATGCCAAGAACCTTCCCAAAGCTCCGCAGGAATTGCACCACCATCAGGCAGTCTGCAAACACACTCCCAGGCAGAACCAGACCATGGATACGAGGAATCTCAGGAAGGGGCTACAGCGAGAGAAGAGAGAAACAGAAATAGAGAAACAAGTGAGACAGACCATTTGTAAACATCATGTTGCAATAACATGTTTCTAATGAAAAAATGTCTTTCAAGCCGCTTTAGTTAAAGTGATTCACTATTTCATCCTCATTCCATTACAGCCACCAATACTGAGTATTAAAATTTATTTATATGTATGTGTGGTTGTGTATGTATGTATGTATTTATTTTTGTGTGTATATATATATATATATATATATAATTTTTTTTTTTTTTTTTGAGTGGGCCTTCACCTAACTTTCTTGTATTATAATCCGTATTAATATTTCTAACTTGGGACAATAAAAATATATTTTTCAAAAAAATCAATATAAAAACAATTTAAAGTTGTTTTGCTTATTCATCCAGCACGACTCTTAACATAGGATGGGGGAAAATTCCACTGTCAAATTAACACTTCTCTAGATAAGGGGTTCCCAAATTTTTTTGTCAGCCAAACCCCTTAGATGTAAATTACTTGTTTGGAGTACCCCCTGAGATTTTAAGCTAATATTTAAATTATTTAATGATATATTTGTATGTTCATGGCTCTCTCATGTCAATAATAATAATAATAATAATTATTATTATTATTTGTAGTAGTAGTAGTATGGATTAGTAGTAGTACGTTTTAACTGTAATTATAAAAATGAAGACAAAATTATATTACTATTGTGAATTACAATTGTACTGTAAAATAAAAGAAAAAATTAATGCAGCACATCGGACTATTACACTCAGTTATTAAGTAAATTGGAGCCTTTGATTTGATAATCACACCAAGTTATATCGAAATTATTATGCAGTCCCAGTTATTTATTTTTATTTTACATTAGATATAATTAAGCTTTTCATCAACTCACAAACCCCATGCAGTTCCCTCACAAACCCCTTTTTGGGAAACCTTGCTCTAGATAATGATATAATAATTAGTTTTGTCTTCAGTACAGTTACAATATAAAAGCCACTTAATTTTGGAAGCAACATGTTGACTTCACAGCATAACGAGTAATGTTTTTTTACACTGTATAAATGGGCCATTACACATAAAATCACGCAGCAGCCATTATATTTTAAGAAAGGGGTCTCACATCAAAATTTGGGTATATTAGCATCAAAAAGTTTGAAAACTCCTGGTCTAAGATACAAGGCTGCCAACTTTCATCATTATGCATCTTTATCAGCACTAGGTGGCAGTATTCTGTCTCAGCTGAATTCACTGTCAAGTGCTTTGGTGAGATTTGTGGGACATCACACCTCTGAGAGTTCTGATTGGATGAGCCTTTATGTTAATGTATCATTAATTGATGAATAAAACAAAATATTACAAAACAAGCATTCTGAATAAAAGTTTAATTTATGATAATTAAAGATTTTTAAACTGCAAAGTTTGCTCTTGTTTGGTCCGATATCCAGTTCCATTACCTTGTGATCTGTCAAACACATGTCTTCACTGGGTTTCTTCATCTCACGGATCATCTCCAGCTCCAGCCTCCGGAGCTCCATTTTCCGCTCCTTGTTGAGCCGTTTCTCATCACGTTTCTCTTGCCTGAGGCGTTCACGCTCCTGCGGGGTGGAAGAAAGACTTCACAAACCGGTTGGATGCCACATCAGGCGTGTTTGACATTAGTGTATTATGTTCTACAAGAAAACTTCGTTTTGGAAAATGAGGAATGTTAAGGGTACTTTATCAAACTACATTAAAAATTTTTTGGGGGAAACACATTCAGGGAGTGTAGCAGAGCGGGTAGACGTGACATGTGAGAAAGCCTTGAGGTGCAGAGAGGAGAGCGGAGTGGTGAAGGACAGTGTTCCTTTATTTATTTATTTATTTTGTTTTGCACACCTCAGCTTTTTTCCGAGCCTCCACAGCTTTCATTAGCATAATGTGCTGTCTCCTCCTCTCCCTCTCCTGAAAAGACAGAATGATTCCATCGTTCAGTGGAGGAAAGCAGAGCATACAGATCCACACAGAGAAAACAAACAAAATATAAAAGCCAGAGACAGACGATAAAACTGATCAGCGTGGTTTAGCATGTTGCACAGAAAGAGAGAGAGAGAGAAAAGGAGGTGTAGAACAGACACATTGCTATGGCCAGAATGAGGTAGCCACAAAAACATGTGTTACAGCTGATCAGACGGGAACAAAAGAGCGAAAAGAAAAGCCACAGATGTAATGGGCAGGTCAGAGGAGGAAAGCTGTCGGTGCATCTCGAGTTAGATTAGCGTAGCTACTGTTACAAGCTAACAAGGGAAAATACATCAGATTTCCCTCAGCCTCAATGTCCTGTCCTTACATTGAAGCACATTGCTATGTCAATGTTCTGAATTTAAAGTCAACATGAAGCTATATATGACCCATTTTACTTTCTTAATACACATTTCAGGTCTTATTGAGTGTCTTCCTTTAAAATGTAAAACTGGCAAATAACAACTTTGCGGCTGACATCATTGGATCATGTTAAATGTGCACTCAGTAATTTGTTTTTTATGTTGCCCTACAAATGTCTTGGAGTCATACTGACATCTAGTGGTGTGGATGTAGCATCATGCAAGTTTCAGTTACCGATATAGTTTCGCAAGTCAAACTTATTAGATCTACAAATTAAATTGTTTAAAAACAAGGCTGTTAACCAAGATGAAATGAGCAGTATTTGGTTAGTTATGTGTTATGATCTCAACATGGCTGCCCCCATGAAGAGACCCACTCCAAGTAAATTACAACTTTCATTGTACTATAAGGTGAGCAGACTTCTGAAAATCAAGACATTTCCTAGTTCGGTGATCAAAATATGATCAAAATCTCACTTGTGATTATCTTCAAATTAAAAACAGGGACAGTGTATTTGTGTGTGCTTTTTGTATTTTAAAGGGTTAGTTCACCCAAAAATGAAAATTCTGTCATTAATTACTCACCCTCGTGTTGTTCGAAACCCGTAAGACCTTCGTTCATCTTCGGAACACAATTTAAGATATTTTTGATGAAATCCGAGGGCTCTCTGACCCTCCCATAGACAGCAAGGTAACTACCACGTTCAAGGTCCAGAAGAGTACCAAGATGATCGACAAAGTAGTCCGTGTGACATCAGTGGTTCAACTGTAAAGTTACGAAGCTACGAGAGTACTTTTTTTGCGCAAAGAAAACAAAAATAACGACTTTATTCCACATTTTCGTCTCTACTGCGTCATTGGGCAGTTGCGTGGTTTAGCATGTTGCACAGAAAGAGAGAGAGAAAGAAAAAAAGTAGGTGTAGAATGGACACATTGCTATGGCCAGGATGAGGCAGCCACAAGAACATGTGTTACAGCTGATCAGATGCGAACAAAAGAGCGAAAAGAAAAGCCACAGATGTAATGGGCAGGTCAGAGGAGGAAAGCTGTCGGTGCATCTCGAGTTAGATTAGCGTAGCTACTGTTACAAGCTAACAAGGGAAAATACATCAGATTTCCCTCAGCCTCAATGTCCTGTCCTTACATTGAAGCACATTGCTATGTCAATGTTCTGAATTTAAAGTCAACATGAAGCTATATATGACCCATTTTACTTTCTTAATACACATTTCAGGTCTTATTGAGTGTCTTCCTTTAAAATGTAAAACTGGCAAATAACAACTTTGCGGCTGACATCATTGGATCATGTTAAATGTGCACTCAGTAATTTGTTTTTTATGTTGCCCTACAAATGTCTTGGAGTCATACTGACATCTAGTGGTGTGGATGTAGCATCATGCAAGTTTCAGTTACCGATATAGTTTCGCAAGTCAAACTTATTAGATCTACAAATTAAATTGTTTAAAAACAAGGCTGTTAACCAAGATGAAATGAGCAGTATTTGGTTAGTTATGTGTTATGATCTCAACATGGCTGCCCCCATGAAGAGACCCACTCCAAGTAAATTACAACTTTCATTGTACTATAAGGTGAGCAGACTTCTGAAAATCAAGACATTTCCTAGTTCGGTGATCAAAATATGATCAAAATCTCACTTGTGATTATCTTCAAATTAAAAACAGGGACAGTGTATTTGTGTGTGCTTTTTGTATTTTAAAGGGTTAGTTCACCCAAAAATGAAAATTCTGTCATTAATTACTCACCCTCGTGTTGTTCGAAACCCGTAAGACCTTCGTTCATCTTCGGAACACAATTTAAGATATTTTTGATGAAATCCGAGGGCTCTCTGACCCTCCCATAGACAGCAAGGTAACTACCACGTTCAAGGTCCAGAAGAGTACCAAGATGATCGACAAAGTAGTCCGTGTGACATCAGTGGTTCAACTGTAAAGTTACGAAGCTACGAGAGTACTTTTTTTGCGCAAAGAAAACAAAAATAACGACTTTATTCCACATTTTCGTCTCTACTGCGTCATTGGGCAGTTGGCAAAACACGACTGCGTTGTGGACGCGCGTCCGCGACAGTATCATGACTGAGAGCCCTCAGATTTCATCAAAAATATCTTAAATTGTGTTCCGAAGATGAACGAAGGTCTTACGGGTTTGGAACAACACGAGGGTGAATAATGACAGAATTTTCATTTTTGGGTGAAATTACCCTTTAATGGTTGTGATTTCCATATATTAATATCATAATTAATAATTACAATGATGTTTGAGGATCAAACTTACTTTAGTTTATTAATAGGCCTACAATTCACCAAAAATCACACTATGAAACGTAAATACTAGGGCTGCACGACAAATCGCATTCGATATTTAACGCGCATCTTATCAGTAAAGCCGGTTCTGTAATCAGCGGTAAATCTCCATCACCTGCGTGCTTTCACATTGAGCAGCATTAACTATACAGAGCCGTTGTTCACTGACGAGCTGCGCAAAAAATCGCGCGAATATGATCGTGGTTTTGCGATTTATCGTGCAGCCCTAGTAAATACTAACTATTGCAGTAAATAGATCAAAATAGGATTATAACAAATGTATGACTTTACAAAAACATATAAAAAATAAAATACAGGACATATGATAAATAAAACCGTATTTAACAAATATTTTTACATTTTCTAACTGTATTTAGTATAAAGTAATTACAACTTTTCAAATAATTTTTTCCAAGTTATTTTATGTTTATGCTTTTAGAAATGGATCTTTACTTTCCCTAATCAGGCTTATTATTTAGCATTTTTGGCTCATTTTGACCACAAAGTATGTGCATTCTGCAAGTGAAAAATTTTATTAATTTATTTATTATTCTTTTTTTTTGATTGATTGATTGATTTCGGATTGTGACGGTGGAAGTTTCAGGAACGTTTATTACTGTGTGCAAAACAATCCCGCAACCTTATCATGCCTTGTTATAAAGTGCACACAAACAGTATTACTTTGTTTTAACATGTATAGTTAGTATGTGACTACCTTGAAACCAATAACAGGGTCTCTTTTGATAATTGATGATAATAGCGCTCTGCTCTCATCCAAGTTCTTCATGGCTACAGTAGCCATAGATATGTATAGGTAGATGCCCCATTCGACTGCGCCAAGCATGTAGACGCGTCCGCCATCTTTAACGGTCAACTTGACATCATTCGCCATAATAATAAATGAATATTCGAAGATGCCAAAATCCTGCACATCCGATGGTTGTAAAAAACGCCGGGATTTAAATTCCCAAAGAAACGGGATAACCTTTCACAGGTGAGAATGTGTTGGTTTGTGTTTTTAAATGACCATCGGCTGTTATGGTGAATGACGTCAAGTTGACCCTTCGAAAATAGCGGACGGCTTATGTATAGCGGCCCATTGAAACAGTCGCTAATGAGGCATCTACGTATACAAATCCATGACAGTAGCAACTAGTAATCCGTATAGCTTGCAGCGTCCTCTGCTGGTAAAAGTAATCATTGTTTTGAACATGCTGTAAAATGGGGACATTTCCGGAGCCAGCTCCAGTTGGAGACAGGACACCAAAACCGGGACTGTCCCTGGAAAACAGGAACGTCTGGTCACCCTACTGTACTACTGATATGAGTCTTTATATTATGTGAGTGTACATTTTTTTATATATATTTATCAGAAGTATTGTTCACTTCTTTATCTGTAAATCTTAAAAATTACAGAGTGCACCCCTAACTAGGCAAAACATTTTTTTTTTTTTTAGCAAACTCACATTCAGGTTTGGCTCCATTATGGTATGGAACATCCACTTTTTACAATCCAATCAATGGAATGAAGTGGAAAATTATGTGCTGTGCTAGTTTGTTAAATATTTTACTCTGAAAAACATTACATTAAGGAAGCAAAATGGGCTGCGAATGCAATTTCATGTTGGCTTTAAGGACAAAGCCAATTAGTGTGAAATCTTCATATCTGACCCACAGATGGCATGGAACGTACAACAGAGAGAAGTGTGAGTTTCCTCAAATTCTCTCATTGGTCAGGCACTATGACCTTTGACCTGTACTGATGACCTCCACAGGCAGGACGATCAGCACAGTGCAAATGCAACATCTTGACAAAGAGTCTGCCACAACATACATACTTGCACACACATACACACCAACACTCTCATTTTCACAGCGATAATGATAATACACAATATTGGGGTGACTTTACATGTGGAATGAGGGTGTGTGGCACTTTCCACCAATGAGGGTATGTACTCAACAGGCTCCATAGACACACACACACACACACACTCACGCATACACACACAGTACACACACACACACATACACAAACAAGGCACAGGCCTGCTGCATCAAAGCCAGTTTTCTCTCATTTACACACATAGCAGATGTAGGCGATGTAGCAGTTTGTTTCTTTTGTTCTCTTTTTTGCTTGAAAAGCCATGCAGAAGGAAAATGTAGTTTTGACAGCAGCCAGTGCTACATTTAAAAATGTGCTGCTATGACATCATATCACAACCAGGATTCACGATGCGAGTGTTAGATGTACAGAAGATGAAACATACCCATACCATATCTAGTCTATGCCTCTCCATCTCCTGAGAGAGAGAGTTGGCAGAGTATTATGAGACAGAAAAAAAATCACAGCGTCATTAAAAAAGAAATGAAAAAAATAAACAAACTCAAAACTTCAGCTTGTAACCCCAAAGAGACAGACCCCACTCCCAAAAAAGCATGGAAATTAACCAGAGAAACAGCAGAACGTTAAAGACACAACCACATGAGACTTGCCACTTCTTACATGGGCATATATTGAACAAATCTAACTAAGGACACTTTTTAACCCATAATGCACTGCATTTCAGATGGTAACTGTGAACTCTACAAGAAAAACATGCCCTTTCCCTTCTTTTCTCCTGCATTTTGTAGCAAAAATCACTACTACTATATAAATGGCCATTATGAGAGCTATTATTTATGAGAGTGGTGACTGACCTGGTGCTTGAGAATAACAGCATGTTGGCGTCTCATCTCCTTCTCCTACAAACATAAAAACGATTCAATGCTACACCAAAACACTCATTATGACAGCCTAAAATGAAACCATCAGAATCCTGTCTGAGCCTTCGGTCTTAACCATGATTCACTTTTTTCAGGATTCTTTTATAAATAGAAAGGTCAAAATAACAGCATTTATTTGAATTTGTTGTAACAATGTTAAGAAGTGTACTTTTTAATTAATGCTATTTACTTTTTAAAAGTATTTAAAAGTAATTTCTTAAAAAGAAAAAAAAAACTAACTGATGCCAAATTTCTCTCAAAATAACTGGATCGTGGTACACTGTTATTGTTATACAAACTTATTTGTACCGTACAACACTGATCAAACTGCCCTAAGAAAGGCTGTATATTTTAAATGTGTATGTATGATACAAGTAGGCTGTAAAGCTAGCGGATGTGAAAAAGTCATAATACTCTACAAAAAACTTAATTTAAATAAAAAAGGCTATTTAAAGCAGGATGTGTATTCTAGTGAGGGCCCCATGTGTACAAGACATAAAAAGATGCACTCAGCATTTTTCATTTTAAACAACAACAGCAAAAATCCAGATGTCAAGTTAATTTTCCCCACACGGGCCGGCAGATATCAGTCAAACAGAGGCTCTGTTCCTTTGTTGTGGCTGAGGAATGTTAATGGTTTGCCGGGGTAGGTAAGAGCAAGAAAAGTTTTTTTGGGTGGGGGGGGGTTTCCACGGTGATGATTCATAGTGCGCAAGAGTAGGTGTGTAGCATCTCTTCGCACTCACAAACTGACCTTTATTCGCTTTTCCGCCTCCAACATTTTGGCATTGGCAGCCTCCTCTCTCTTTTTCCGCTTTGCCTGCCAATACAAAACAGGTCTGGGTCAGACCAGTGCTGCCGTGCTGGGTATAAACCTAAATTAAACATGCTAAACCAACATCTGTTTTATTTATAACTTATACTAACACTTTGATTGATGTGTCTGCGAGAGGAAAAGCGAGAGCTGGCATCGAAACGTATATATACACACACACACACACACACACACACACACAGAGAGAGGAAAGCCCTTCTGTCTCACGCCTTGCCATTGTTGCGCTTTCTCTAGCTACAGATCACTGAGTCAGGGATTGAGAATGTTTTCTCCTCAAGTCCGTGTCAGAATCAGCCCCGAGATCTTCAATGCTATTCAATATTCCTCGGGGCTCTGACAACGGCAATATAAAAAGAAAGCAAAGGCGAATTAGCTGAAAATTTAAATACGTAATTACAAACAGCAAGAAATCCTGTTTGGAATGGCTTGCCAAGCGTGTCAGCTCCAATTTGATTTTGCCCAGCTAAAACACTTTTGAAGCCTCTATAATTGGGTGAGTAAAATAAACAGTGTCTTCCTCATGCTACTTATGCAAGAACTGCCATTGTCTGATGGAAAAAAATATTTTATGTCTAATTTACCTCTGGTTTGAAACACAGGAGGCAGCAAATTTAATATTCAAAAACGGTCCACCAAAACCAATTTAGCATTAGTCCTGACGAAAATTATGCAGAATTCAGAGCCCCAAAATGCTGTTGAGTGATTCTGCTGTGGTCCGGGCTCCATGTTAAACAGGAACTGAAGGGGGTGGCATGTATTTTAAGAATGTTAAGCCTATTTCAACTCTTTTAATTTATTATTTTCTTTCCGCAGTCACGCCATACCTCGAGAATCTGCTGTGCTCGGAGTTCCTTCTCCATACGGATTTGCTGAATACGCTTGATCTTTTCCTGGTAGGAGAGGAAGAGGAAGTCTGTTAATTGAAAGTGCTGCTGTGCATTTAAAAAAGTCGACTGGTAGCCGAACCGCAGTCGTAGAAGCACCGTCAATTAACACTATAATCTCATATCAAGTGACCCTCAGGCTGACCGAAAACCGGTTTCCTTTTCAAACTCACCTGCTGTCTGAAAATCTTCAACTGTTCCTTTTGCTTCCTCCTCTCCTCTGCGGCCATGATAGCTGAAAGAGAGATTTCAGCAAGAACAAGATTTCAGCAAGAAGTCTGAACATGATCGTCGTTGTGAGCAATCGAATAGTATTCATAATCGTGAAGAACCTTGCTGTTTGCGGGCCTCCTTGGCAGCCCGAGTGAGTGCCTGTTTTTCTAGTTTTCTCATGAGCTTCATCTGAGCCGCCTGCCGGGCGATTTCTGTTATGAAAACAGACAAATCTCTTCCATCAATATATGCATTATTATCTATGAATGAGGTGTATAAGGCAAATAGAGGCACTTTACCCTGAGCCTCCAGCTTGCGCAGCAGTTTGGCCTCGGAGGGACTTGGGAATTCGCTCTCTCCTAGATTGGGGGGGCGGCCCTTTCGCCGCCGGCTGCCCGAAACTTCGCTGCCGCCCCTCGACTGCCGCTCATAGTTGGGTGGACGACCTCGCCGACCCTCCATGGCCAAGATATGGGGGATGACTTCTTCTTCTTTCAGAAGAGTCCACTGCAAACCCTGACGGAAGCAGGAGACAACGTCGTGTCAGACTTATGAAGACAACGGTAGAAACACAGAAAGTTTCCTATTTTAGTCTGGTTCCCTATAAGACTGTCACGTCACTAAGGATCATGTGACTTTATGATCACTAAACACTGAAACAGCAAGTTAATTATTATTTGGTAATATTCCGAAATGTTATTCTCATTGTAGCTCCAATTTTAGCAAATGAATTAATAAGCATGAAATGAAGAAAATTCAAAAAACAAGAGAGTCAATTTCATTTAAATTTTAGTCTATAAACAGTCCCAACTTTTGCTTCACTTTATCTTTAATCTAAAGAATCTCTTTCAGCACACATGACAGACAAAACATGAAGTAACACCCTGTGGAAACAACGAGCGCTGATTATTGCACAGACTCCCTACAGTTTAAAAGGGGAAATTCAGACTATCGGGGTTCAATCAAATTCTGCCCTGTTCAAGATGAAAGAGAGAAACGGAGAGCGAAAGAATACAAGCGAGAGAGACAAAGAGAAAAAAAGAACATGAACAAAAAAAAAAGAAAAAAGAGGAGATGAAAGGCATTCACCTGGGGTCCTTCTCTGGCTTCATAGAAGTCACCAACCCTTATTTTTGCACTGAAGCTAAAATTATCACGTGTGATGTCAGTTATTCCGTATCTGGACAGATACTACAGAAGAGAGAATAATAGTGATTTTGTCAGACAGGACATCCAGAGAGCCATTAGCACTAAAATGGTACCAAACTGAAAGCAGCTTAGCACACTTGCCATAACAGTGCACCTAAGTGACCAGCTGGATCTTACACCAATAAATGCTAATGGTGCACTGGGAGAGGAAAGGGGTGGGGAATGAGGCTTCCGGAGCGTTTGGGGAGGGTCTAAGCGTAAGGCAGCGGGGAAGACAGGTAAAAGTTACCTTTACGACATCCGGGTACTGTCGTAGGCGCTTGCCACATGGGGCATAATACGCAACGTCTCCCTGCAGTCGACCACCCATTGTTTTCATCCTGGTCTCTCTTTGCCAGCTGGAACAATAACACACATCGAAGAAAAAGTGGATAATACAACACATTTGGGCAAACTTTCAAAAACGGCTTGATAAACTAAAAACATTTATTTTTATGATATTTGATTTCCTTTTTATGCAATTTTTGAATGCTAATTTTATTTTATATGATAGTGGGCATGGTAGCATGGTAATACGTATACTTTGATTGATTGATTATTTAAAGACATGTCAGCAGCAAGCATATTTTCCTGGCAAGAACAAACTGAATAACAAAAATCACAAAAACAAACAAACAAACAAAAAAACCTAAGGCATTTAGGATTAATACAAGACCAAATATTTAAAATACAGTCAGGTGATACCTTTTTAAATATCTCAGTTAAACACATATCTGAGTAAAATCGTAGTCTGTTTACAATAAAAAAAATATGCATTCAAGTAAAATATGCTTAACAGTCATAGGAAGGCATGATAAATGTTAAATGGCACCTACCTAGATTTGAATGTACTTCATATCTTTTCTCTAGAATTTATTTCATATAAGTTTTTGTTGTGGCATTCACATGTACCTCGATAATACCATGATATCACACAAATATGATGAATATGAATTATGAATGCGAATATGACAATAATTTTAAGTGTCTAAGTACCATGCCATTATACCTCCACTGTGCTATGCTACTGCCACTTTGCTTTTTGGAATGGGTTTGTAATAATAGAGCAAAGAATTCTGATTTGAGCAGAGTATTTAAACATCTGCAGTTTTAATGCGATGTTTGTGTGAGATTGTGTGCTCTGTAGCTTTAGAAGCATAGAATGCAGAGCTGCGGTTAACAGGTGTTGAGTCATGCTGCCACCAGCGTGTGTCATATTTAAACGTACCCCATTTCCAGCGGAATCCGTAAATCATCTTCATTCATCACTCGCTTTCTCTTCGCAGAGCCTGAGACAAGACAACAGCCAGACAAAACACATTATAACACACACACACACACTTTAAGCAAACCGTTTCAATATCTCTTACAAATTACAACTCGCATAATGAGCAAACAACATCAAATAAAACCTTGATTTTTATTTGCTCTGCTTTTGATGGTGCCTGCATGCATAAAACGTGCTTCTAAAATGCCAAGGAATTTCATTGCAGTTGCTAAAGTGTCCTGAATTGTTGTTACTAGGGGTTCACTGATATTAAAATTCTGGCTGATACTGATAAAGCAAATAATTTTCATGCTAATGGAAGATAAACAAAAATGGCAATCATTTAAAATATACAGTATTTTTAAATAAAGTAAAAATTAAACACTTAAAAACAAAAATCAAGCAAATTTAGGCATCATTATATTATAATGTACAGTATGGAAAACGGATAATAATTCGGAGGCTTGCTAAACATGGTTATTAAATTATGGGTGTTTTTAAAGATTTAAAAAGAAATTAAGTAAAAGAAATTGCATGTAAAAATAGGACAAATGAGCATCAACAAATAAATATACAATATTGACCGATATTACATAAACTTCTGTTCAAAAGTTTGGGATAGTAAAAAAAAAAAAATTCTTTAAAGATTACATTAAATAAATTACAATTCAAAAAAGATAAATGCAGCCTTGGTGAGCATAACTTTTGAACAGCAGTGAATGCAAGATTAGTACCATTAATTAAAAAAACAAAAACAGTCAATAATTGATAATAGTACCTACATATTGTGTATACCTGTTTTTTAATGTGTTACTTTGCAATTTCTAGGGTGTTTTTGATGGTTGCTTAGAGGGCCAAGCCAAAAGAACTCACTTCCAAGTCTCAAATATGGTATTTTGGTACTTACATTTGACTTGGGTACATAAATGTATGTTTTTTTTTGGCCTCATTTTTAGGCAGGTAAACATCTGATCACATAATAGTAAACGAATAGCTCTCCTAAACAAGCTGCATGAATTGAAGTATAATTCATGCCCGTAGCACAAACTATGCAAGATGAGCTACACATTCAAGTTAAAAGCTTAGGGATAGGGTGTTGTTTAAAAAATGAGTAATAGCAACAGTGACATTAACAAAAACCACAGGAAGAAACTAAAAATCCTCTCTCTCACATCTCTCCTTTAGAGAAGTGAAGTCTGCAAACAAAACGGGAGTCAAATTAATCTCTCAGCAGCTCAAATAATGCTCCAAAAACAAATCATCGTAGTAACTCTTCTCAGCTTATTACAGATTCCTTGCGCTTTTCAACAGACACACTTCGGCTTCATTAGAAAAAGCGTTTCATTCCATCGCAGTGAGGGATGCTGAACGCCGTCCAAGAGCAGATGCACTTGTGTGCCATGTTTGCTGGGTTTGTGAGTGTTTTGTTTAACAAATGTCTCTGTTAGCTTCAGAAGGAAAAAACTGATTAAGTCAGCCAAACAGAGCTGGTTGATGTGCCTCAGCTAACAGGTTAAGGCAAACACAGTTACCGGGGTTAACCCAGACACCACACTAAGAGCTCTCGTTACCAGCTACATTTACCTAACCCTAAACCTGACCCTGTATAAACCAAACACAATTAAAGGAAACAGTTTAATATTAATTCTGTTTAGGGTTTTTTCCTGGAATACAGGCCAAACAGACAACGGCTAGGTCCAAGGACGCACACCCAAATAGACAGGCACAAAGGGAGCCGAGTGATGCCAGACGCCACCATTTATCTTTCTAAAAATAGACACTCCCGTCATCTGAGTGTGACAGCTTGCACACAGACAAATACACAAACAAAAGGGCATACGCATACACACGACACATATTCAACCCTATGCACACTTTGACACTGACAGAGCTCCAAAGGAAGGTGTCAAGCATATCCAGTTTTAGTTTAGTAATGACGTTGCCTGTGGTTACCTGGAGAGGTGCCAACAGAGTATGATGAGGAGGGAGAGCTGTGATAGGTCAAGGCACCGGAGCTGCTCACAACGGTGGGCGTGGCCACACTGGAGGGCTTAATGACTTGGAGGTTTAGTGGCAGACAGTCAGACAGGCTGTGATTCGTGGAAAAGTTCAGATGGGAAAACCCCTTGCTGAGTTTCTGAGGAGTCTTCTCTCCATCGGTGTCCATCTCCATGACTCCATCCTTGCGCTTCTTTTTACCACCCTCTGAGCCGTTCATCTCGCTGTCTGAATTACTGTCTGACTCTAAGAGAAGAGAGGACATGAGACCGTGTTTATGGAATTGCTCATTATAGCATGCCTTGTGTCACTGGTTGTATCAATGAACCAAATTAAAGGAATGGTCCACGCAAAAATGAAAATTCTGTTATAATTTACTCACTTTCAGTGGTTCCCACTGACTTGCATTGTATGGACAAAAATACAATGGTAGTTAATGGGAACCAAAATGTCTGGCTACAAACATTATTCAGAATATATTTTGTGTTTCGCCGAAAAAAGAAAGTCATACAGGTTTGGAAGTTGAGTAAATGGTGACAGAATTTAAATTTTTAGGTGGACTGCTCCTTTACACAGAAATTGAAATAGCGCAATAGCAACATATATAATTTTCATAATCTGATCTATTTTGAAATAAAAATGCAATGATATTCAGCAATGAATAATTTAAAGAATATTTCTTTGGATCAGGATTAATTAATTTTTTTAAATAAGTTAATTAATTGTTATCCACCACTATATACCGTGAACTACTTACACAGAAATGTATGGTGATTTTTTTTTTTTTTTTTTTCAATACGTTTTCGTTCCATTTAATCATAAAAAATTAGAGAATTTTAATTTCTGGACAATCTATTTCTTTAATGCACTTACAAAACCTCTGTCCTTAGGCATCTCACCTGAGAGACTGTCATCTGAATCCTCTTCGTCATCATCCTCTTCGTCCTCCACATCATCATCCTCATCATCTTCGTCCTCAGCAGAGTCATCTGAGTCTTTGCTGCTGGGCAGCTTTTGCTCAGCTCCGCTGTGTTGAAAGAGGTCAACCAGAGACTGCACCAGGTGGTTCTGGGATAAACCCTTCCAGGCTTCTAATGCTTTGGGAGTCTTGCTCTTCCGGGGCTCACGGGTGCGGTTAGGAGTGGGAGACGCAGAGGCGGGGCTCTTACGGCCTCCCGTACTGAGGTTGACGGGCACATCTGAGCGAGGTTTGGTGGTAAGGGCCAACGGCATATCCTGGGTGCTCGGGACGACTCCGTTAGGCTGGCCCAGACCCAGCAGGCCATGAGAGAAAGGTAGAGTGGAGGAGGACACACCTTGCAATGCAGGGGGCTTGGTCCTACCTGATGCTTCGGAGCTGAGCTTAAGAGGGAGCGCAGAGGAGGAGGATGAAGATGAGGAAGAGGACGTGAGTGCCTCTGTCCTCTTGTTTATCTTATATGGGTCCTGTTGTTTCTTTAACTGGAGAGGAAACTTCTGGTCCTGGGACAGGAAAGACTGCAGAAGGAAAAACAAAGGGAACGATGATGGAAAGTAACTAAAACAAGTATATATCGCATCCAGACAAATTTACTAAAAAGCTGTGCACATCAACAGAAAAGGTTCTGTTATTCTGTTATATAGCAATATTTTCACTGGACAATGGGATGGACACATAAATCTGTTCTTATTTTCAGGTAAATGATAAAAAAAAAACATTAAAAGTGAAATAATATTACAGTTAAATATAAAAAAAAACAAATTATGCTGGCATATTCAGCAAACATTATTTCATCTTCAGTGTCACAGAAATCCTTCTAAAATGCAGATTTGGTGCCCAGTTATTAGTGCTGCTCAATTATTAATAATGGTTCTTATTATTATCAATGCTGAAAACGGTTTTTGCTGCTTAATATTTTTGTGGAAACTGACTTTTTTCAGGATTCTTTGGTGAACAAAAAGTTCAAAAGAACAGCATTTATGTCACATGTCATTATAGTGACTTTTGGTCAATTTAATGCATTCTTGCTAAATAAAAGTATTAATTTCTTTATTTTTTTTATCTTAATTACCTTTTGAATGGTAGTGAATCACAGTTTCCACAAAAATATTAGGCAGCACAATTTTTTTCAACTTAATAATAAGAAATGTTTCTTGGGCACCAAATCAGCATATTAAAATGATTTCTGAAGATTCATGTGATAATGGAGACTGGAGTAATGGCTGCTGAAATGGCTCTTTTTTTTAAATATAAAGGGCTGTTTACACCATTGATGATAACTTTTAACAATTAACTATTAAGTTTTAGCACACATAATTCTCTGAAAATACTGAACTCCACACCGAAACACAGAGGAACGATTTTGTTAGAATCACTTTCAGAACTTTTTTTTTTTCAGCTAATAAAGCAGACAACATAACTCTTATTATAAATGCTTATAAAAACAGAACATTATTGTTCATTGGCATCGTCATTTTAGTTATCTTCATTGAGAATGAGCCCATATATATAAATAACATATATAATAATATAAATAACACATACTTATAAATATATATTAAAATGAACATTCCACATGGGAATATGTAATTTTTTAATATGTCTGCTTGCATAATTCTGGTATAGTGAATAAAACTCTTATTACTTAATTACTTATTACAGCAAGTACTGCTGTGGGACAATACTATTTTTGAAACAAAGTGAAACAGGACTGGACTTCCATGAACAAAGCACATCTTCAGAGAATGTGAGATATGTATACCGAGAGCAAAGATGAGAGGAGTAAGAAATAACAAATTGACTGATAAACAAAGAGAGAGGGGAAAAGCAGCAGAGAGGGAGAAGTGGAGATGTGGTAATTGCACTGGTTGTCATGTGGCTTAAGTGCTGGCGGAGGAAGAGAGTGAGTGAGCATAATGCTGCTCTGACTCACTGAAACAGAGAACAACAGCGCGGCCATGACTCTATCAGCTACACAACATTCATTAAGAAAGAAGGAATGCTCAAACTCTGCCTGCCTTCAACCACTTGAAATCTTCATAGCACCATTATAGTTCTCCCAAACTCATGAACATGTATACTGTATATTGGAATAATAAACTGAAAATACAGGTTTACATTTTCTTCAGAAAACTGCTGTTTGTGAAACCATTGCTATGAGGTTGCTAGAACATTCTAGCTGTTTGATATGGTGTTGCCAAAAAGCCCAACTTCAAGTGTCTATATGCCAATTCACACAGCATCAACAGACGCATACCAATGCCGACAGCTGACAGAGTACAGTACGTCACTTCTCAGACATTTCAAGACCCTACAAACGCCAATTCAACATGTTCAATTGGCAAAAACAAGTGCCCACCAATGCCAATAAACACAGACAGGGTCGCACACTGATTCGACAAACGTGTTACAGTTTGTCTGCGTCTGTCGGTGCGGTGTGAACTGAACTTATGATGTTCTGGAGCATTGTAATAAGCCCCTGAAGTATGTAACAGAAATAAAAAAAGATGGAGTTTTTTCAATATTGTGACATCAGAGTGGAACAAATTTAAAATAAATAAATAAAGTGGGGCGGGGATTTGGTTCTATCCATCGGTTGTTGATTGGATGGAGGCAGATCTGAATAAAAGCTTGCAGTCGATAATAAGAAAGAGGCAGGGTTTATGCAGACAAAATAACTAGAGCAAAAGGTTAAAAAAAATAAAAAAATAACGTATACTTGGATGAATCGTTCATAGTAAGATCAATTATCAAAAACATGTATTTAGAAAATAGATTTGGTGAACTTTCATTTCATGCCGGCTTTGTTCATTTTATAGTCCGCTAGACGAAAATCTTGTTTTTAGGAAGCATTCAGACAGCACAAACACCAGATCCTCATGTATGAGCAAGAGTAACACTATTAGTTGCCTTAGTAAGCACCACTAATAAAATCTAAATATTATGAAACTGTTCCTCACCGTAACATAATAATAAAACCACTCTGGTTAATTACAAGTAGAAGAAAAAAATGATATTAACCTCTTCAACAATAATTTCAAGGCAACAAAAGAAGAGGTGAGGAAAAGGCACTCATTTGCTGAAATCTGGACCCTTAAGAAGTCATGGAGTTAATTGCCTGTTGGTTTTGCTTCAGTAATTCTAATAAAGTGACGCACATTGTCACTTTCATTTACCAACTAAAGCCACACAGTAGGGAAGCCAGTCCTACTGATAAGAGAATGTAGCTGTCCTTTCTGTCCTTCTCTCTGCATTTCTGTCTTCAACACATTCACAAACACACACACACACACACACACACACACACACACAAATAATTCTCTCTCCCCCTCACATTCTCCCTCTCCGTTACTCTGACCTTTTCAAATAGGCTGGTCAATAAGGAGAGACACGTCCTGAATACCAACAGCACCCTAAAAGCGATAATCCTAAATTGGCTTAAAAGATACGGACACAAACTGTGGATAATTTGCTTTAGCTGGTTTGCTTTTCTGGAAAATGAAAATGTGGACACCGGCCTTGAGGGAAAAGCGAGATTAATGTATGGATGACTTGAAGGATGAACAGTCTCACATTTCTCCCGCCAGACCGTGGCAGACTGTCTACTCACCTGTTTCAGCCTGTAGTCAGCAGTGACTTGTGCCAGAGAACTTTCCAGAATCTTCCTGCTGGTCAGAGCGTCCAGCGCTGGAGACTGGGACTTGCGGGAGGAAGCTCGAGACTGCGCTTTGAGGGATGGGGTGAGAGGGGGCAGTTTGGGGGAAGAAGACAGGGGGAGGGATTTTGGAGGGGACGGGACTGATAGTGGTTTGGGGGAGGAGCATAACGAGAGTGGGAGGGGCTGAGGTGAGGAAGTGAGGGGCTTGGTAGTGGCTGATGCGGTTTTTGGAGAGGAGGTGCGATGCTGTGGAGAATGTTTAGGAGAAATGTCTCGACGTGACTGTGCGATTAGCGCTAACGGTTTAGCGCCTGCAGCCAGGCCAGTGGACTGGATTACACTGGTGTGGAGGGGTCTTTCCCTGGCTCTGCCGCCTGATAGCGATAGCAGAGGGGGTTGAGACAGGCCTGGAGGAGGTGGAGAGCGATGCAGGTGCACTGGAGGAGAGGGCTCTAAAGGTGCACTGCCCAGCAGGCCTCCATGGAAGTCTTTGGCCTCCAACAGCCTGGTCTTTTCCTTCTTACTGAGCCCAGAGTTTGGCGTCACAATCTGCGCAAACAAGAGAGAAGAGAGAGAAGTCCACTTGTTGGTTAAGGTTTAGTTAACACTAACAAGAGTCATATTGTGTTTTTAAACTCTCACCGACCCTCAGCATTAAATAGGTTGTTTTTGTTACTCTGCCTTTAAGACATCCACACTTTAAAAAATATTTAGGTCTTCTTTAAGATTTTTGTATTTGAATTACATATAAAAATTGTCATTTGCTTTACACAGTTTTAAAAAACTAATAAACTTAATGTGATGCATATTTGTCAGTCATACCTAAATGAAATAGATAACAAACAGGTAAGATTTCTGTACACAAAAAAAGAATGCCACTGTTTGTCATTATTTTTATGCATTTGATTTTATTTAAATAATCATATTTTCAAAAATGGATTTATTCAAATTGCTTAGAATTAGCATAAATCTGTCCATTGTGGAAACAATTAAATATGTTGAGTTAAAATTATGGTTAAAATATGGATAGCTGTGAAATAAGCATTATTCACTTAGATAAAATATTTGAGATTCAAACTAATTTAATAAATGTTCGATAAATGTATTAATCTGGTTATTGTGTATTTAAAACACATTCAGTTTATTAGAACCATTACATAAATCTTATCTGTTTTTTTCGGTTTCATTTATGTATGACTGACAAATATTATGCATTAATAATTAATGCATTTATTACTTTGTTAAAACTGTATAATCCAAATGGATGGAATTTTATATGCAATTCAAATATATAATTCTTAAATTAAGGTATAAATATTTTTTGAGTGCATATGTAAATGATCTGCAATTAAGCAGATATTTTTATCCAAAGTGACTTCCAATGCATTGGAGCAATCTGGGATTAAGTGGTACACAAAGGTAGGGTTCAAACCTGCAACCTTTTGGTTTCCTGGCCAAAAACAGTAATATGTGCAGCTAATCTGAGCAGCATCTTACTTTCATTTTCTTTTTTTTCTGCCGTTCCTTTTCTGAGTCTGACTCCTCACTGTCTTTACTCTGCTCATCTTCCTCGTCATCATCATCATCTTCTTCCTCTCCAAGATCATCAATATCACTGCTGCTCATTCCGTCGCTGTCAGTATCCAGCGATGATCCAGATTCACTCTCGCTTACACCAGACCCCTCTACCTGCTTCTTACGGGCTTTCTGCATGGGTTGACACAGACGTCAATCATGACTCAATTTTAATAATTTCAACAAATAATTAAAGAGTTGGTCATATATGAGAAGTTTTTTTGTGTTTAGACTGCACACTGCATGATCGTCCCTCGTATGTATGTCATGATGTTGTACCTTCTCTTTAGGTTTCTGCGAGGGTTTCTCCTGAAGCTCCCCTGTGCTGTTGCTATGGTGACTGGCCTTGCGGTCGCGGGCTTTGGCGTTGAGTGTCCGGCTGTGTTCAGGGGGCCGGAGCGCGGGGGAGGGGGAGGCAGAAGTCGAAACTGCTCCTTTAGCCGCAGATGGAGACAGTGAACGACCATTCACAGCTCCATTCACACCTGCGCACAAAAGAGTTTACATAAAGCAATCAGATGCTTTTAAACTATGCAAATTCTTGCTACAAAAGAAAATAAATAAAGATTTACATCAACATGTATACTATGTCAAATAGCCTTTATCAGGGATTTGTGGAGTTAAAACTACAAAAGATCTCCTTATAAGCCACCTTATGAATTCATCACTGGAGGCGACTGCTCAAGGCGATGATTACTGTGAGTACACCAGCCTGAAGGCTACATTACTGCTGCATTACTTTTGTTTAACTTGAAGTCTGCCTCCAAGGGATGGCATACATTTTCCAGGAGGCAGATATAGACTAGGGCTTTACAGATGATTACCTTTGGAGGCCTGACTTCTCTTGTTGGGTGTTTTGGATGTGTAAGGATTGGCCTCGTGGTTGTGAAGCGGCGGGGCAAACATAGGCGGCAGACCCAGAAAAGGTGGGAAGAAGGCTGGAGAACTCCGTCCATGTGCTTCTGCTGCTCTCCACCATTCTGAGAAAAGAAAGAGTAAATTACCTCTTAACTTTAGGGTAGACAATCTAAATGAGACACGACTCAAATATAAATATTTGATTATATTATTATTATTATAAATGCTTAATAATAATAACAGTAATTTTCTTAATAATCAAAATAATCTTATTATTATTATTATTATTATAATTATTGTTATACTGGTATATACTAATACAATAAAATACTGTTACTTAATATTGATTTATGAAAATTATATTTTTGCTTTATTTAGTTTCATAGGACTTATCAGGACTTTTATTGTTATCAGGACTTCGGTCATGAATAAACGGCCACAAACGTAAGCATTTTTTATTGTTATTATTATTATTGTAATTACTGTTTTTATCACTATTATTGTTGTCATTGTTTTTATATTGCTATTATTGTTATTCTGTTATATACACCATCAAAATATAACACTTTTACTTAATATTTCTTTATGAATATTTATTCATTTAGGTACATAGTACTTGGTGTCATCAGGGCTTCTGTCATGAATAAACAGCCATAAACACTGTTGTTATCATTAATAATAATAATAATTATTATTAGTAGTAGTATTATAGTTATGGTTATACTGTTAAAAACTATTATAATATAACATTATTACTTACTAAATGAGACACGACTCAAATATAAATATTTGATTATATTATTATTATTATAAATGCTTAATAATAATAACAGTAATTTTCTTAATAATCAAAATAATCTTATTATTATTATTATTATTATAATTATTGTTATACTGGTATATACTAATACAATAAAATACTGTTACTTAATATTGATTTATGAAAATTATATTTTTGCTTTATTTAGTTTCATAGGACTTATCAGGACTTTTATTGTTATCAGGACTTCGGTCATGAATAAACGGCCACAAACGTAAGCATTTTTTATTGTTATTATTATTATTGTAATTACTGTTTTTATCACTATTATTGTTGTCATTGTTTTTATATTGCTATTATTGTTATTCTGTTATATACACCATCAAAATATAACACTTTTACTTAATATTTCTTTATGAATATTTATTCATTTAGGTACATAGTACTTGGTGTCATCAGGGTTTCTGTCATGAATAAACAGCCATAAACACTGTTGTTATCATTAATAATAATAATAATTATTATTAGTAGTAGTATTATAGTTATGGTTATACTGTTAAAAACTATTATAATATAACATTATTACTTCATATTGGTTTATGAATATTATATTTTTGTGTCATTTGGTTACATAGGATTTTGTGTCATCAGGCTTTCGGTCACACACATACCTGTGAAGGCTCCTAGTTGTGGATGAGCTGCGAGGGCAGCAGAGACCCCCAGTCCTCCTAGACCCCCAAACTCTGGGCGGGCTGTCGCCGGTGATAGCAGACCAAAGGCTGGGTGGGCCATGAGCGGGTACGCACTGGGCAGAGAGGTCACTGAGCTGACGCTGAAGGGCTGGTCACCGCCCGTCAACCCAAAAATTGGACCTGCCCCATCAAACACACCCACACAAACAAAACACCATGATACATTCAGCCTCTGAAGCCACATATCTGGAAATGACTATGAGCAATGCTCATGAAGCTGCATTTTCAGTCACAAAGGCCAAAGTTCAAAAAAGGAGACAGCATGAGCAATTTGTCTTTTGCGTTTTTTGTCAGTAATGTGTGTTTAGATGTACACTTGAGAGCAGACGTGGAGGGGTTTCTCCGCATGTCACCCGAAGTTAGCTAAATATGATGAAACCTCCCCTTGAGTTCATTTGGGGACGACTTTCAAAATGCTGAAAGTTTTCTATTAGGAGTAGGGACAGTCTATTGTATTGATAATTAAATAATAAATTCAAATTATATAGTTATTTATTTAAAAAAAAACAACAGTCTATGTTATGCCTTCATTTAGGCCTCTTAGTAAACGTGCGTGTGAGACTCTATGAGAGACAGTTTGATGGCTGTTAATGTTAATGTAATCACAGGCTTTCCGACAGCATTTGATTAATAACTATGATCAGACCAAATGAAAGTCTCCGCGTGATAGAACAAGGAAGAAGTGGGAGAGAAGACGCCCAAAGCGCTCTGGCATCTCCACTATATTCTATAAGATATCACAGCACCCTCTCTGAGTTCGATAAATCACTTCAATCTCTTGTTTGACATTGTATAGGCTCTCGGTATACATGTAAACACAGAGCTCTTCGTATTAATCATCGTCATCATCATCCAGATTGGATCCTTTCTGGGATCGATCTCCTCTGGCAGCGCTGATGCTGCCCATTGTCTCCTTCAGGAGTCACATGTAATTTCTAAGCCGCATATTTCATGCAAATTCAATTTCCATTAGGGAGCACAGAGAAGAAAGGCTTGAGCGCACCATTCCGCCAGCGCAGCACCGCACCAGCGCTCTCTCTCTCGCGCGCGCACACACACAGAGAGAAAAGCAAAAACCACCAGTGCAGAATCTGACATCCTCCTAATTTTATGTCATAACATTTATTTTTTTTTTTTTAATTTTCCATTTATTATCCACAGAAGAAAAAAAGACACAAGGGTTGAGTAAATGATGACAGTATGTGTTACTATTACTTGTAAAGCCAGAGTTGTACTGTAGTGTTGTAGTGAAGTTATTTTATTTATTTTGAAACGAGGTACAAACTTTAACAGACAGCATGGTTACATTTCCATGACTGTATTTAAGCACATCACATCAGCTATTTTCTGACAGCCATTTAGAATCAGAACTAGTGGCGCTAGTTTTGTGAATGATCGTATAGAACATGTTCAATTCAATTTGTGATTCCATCTTAATCATCCAGACATCTCACTTACCCACTACTTCTAATCAGTGACTGTTGTTTTGTTTTGATCTCTCCCCTGTGCAAAGCTGACCTCATACTTCATTCCCCCGGAACTGCTTCCAGTGTACAACAGTGAGCGCAAGCTACATTAAAGTGATTATTACGTTTTGAATATGGATATTTTTCTTACAAAAACACATTGATTCGCTGCAGAAGGCCTTTGTTCACCCCCCGGATCCGTGTGAGACACTTTTTTTTATGGATGGGCGCATTTTATTAAACTGCTTTTGGACGGATGCACGCAACACCTGCTGAGTGCCATTAAACAGCTTGAAAGATCAAAGACCATTTTTAATATAACTCTATGGATTCGTCTGAAAGAAGAAAGTCATATACACCTAGGATGACTTGAGGGCGAGTAATTTATGGGCTAATTTTTCATTTTTGGGTGAACTAACCCTTTAAGGCCTGTCCTTTTTAATTCTCACACACAAAAATCCAGTACAGCCTGTATGTTTTGGGGGTTTGTTCTGATATAGACAGTGGCGTCGAAAGAAGGAAAAAAGGATGAAAAGAAAGAGCTTGTGAAGGAGAGAGGCGGATGTGAAGATAAATGAGAGGAAATATTCCCCCAAAGACCATCATCCGCTCCTGCTGGCACACACACACACACACACACACACACACACACAAACACACAGAGTGGCAGAAACGCCAGTTTCATATTAATGCGCTTTCAGCTTCTTCGCTTGTCCCCCACCCCCCCACCAACACACCTTCCCATGTTCTCCATCTTCTGACAAACCGAGCCATTTTGAAAAGCGGCACTGTCCTCCCCCACCTGTCTCCTCGTTCGCTCTCTTATGTGGGATGCGGCGGAAGCCGATTAATGTGCCCTCCGTTTGCATCAATCACATTTCTACAGACAGATCTGACAGCCGACTTAATTGTCTGTGTGTCTGAGGGGGACGGCGAGAAAAAGTGCGAACATGTGGCCGCCGTTTGTTCTGCGAGAGGTTAAAATATTCTCTGTTTCAGCCCAGATGCACCTCGTTCTCGACCTGAACATCATCTATCGCTCTGGCACGCTTGTGGGCCGGTGATTTAGTGGGACAAAGTGTTAATTGTGTTTAAAGTGGTAATGATAGCGCTGTGAGAACATGTCGAGGGACAGCCTCATTCTGAATGTTAATCAGCTCAACTAGGACTGAATTACCGAGGTCCTCTTGTCTGTTTAACCCAAGTAAATCACTTTTTTTTTTAAATGGATCAATTCTTTGTTTTTGGATTTCTTTCAATTTTTTAATCACATGAGCAGGAATGCTTATTGTACAGAATATAACAGGCAATCACAGCTATAGTGATATTCAGTAATACAGCACTCTTGCTTATAAAATATTGTTTTACATAAAACTGTTCTATAAATAAAAAGTTATTATTAAGTACTAGACACAATATGGCCAGTTATTTTATTTTCGCACAGCCAACAAAAATAGTCCCAAGAGAGGACAAAGCAGGATCAAGATCTGGAATTCTATGTAGCAATCACAGACAAGTGGAGTGATGCAAACTGTCCCAGTCTGCACTCTTGGAATATTTTCAAAATGAACTATTTAATGGGTTACTGAAAAACTAGCTGGCTAACTGGTCTTCAGGATGCCTAGAATAATTAGGCTGGTTTCAGGTTCATTAGTGAAGCAGAAAGAAAGGAATATGTTGAATTATTTTTGTCTTTACTCACTGTCGCAATGCAATGAGAATAAAGCAAGATGATCAAAGAGAGCAACAAAAACAATTGATGTCCATGTTTGACTGTATTAAATTTAAAGACTAAACGTCTCAGAGAATTGAGTTTTATAGCATGATTTACAGCATTATTAGTATATATATATATATATATATATATAGTCAACACCTCCAATCGAATACTCAACTAGTTCTGCATCATGACCCATCCCTACTTGGAATGCCAATTTTCCTTATCATATTAGTTGACTGAAGCCAACTACTGTATAATAGAGAGAAATAGTGGAAAGTTGAATGGATTCAGGAAAAGTTAGAAGCCAGAATCGAAGCTGCATTACCCACACGAGCATAATGGCTCAACTTGTCAGGAGTATCTGCAGTAACCACTAAGCCACAGCTCCAACTAAAATTCAAGCTTTATATTTTATTTCTGTGAAAACAGAACAGCAAAGCCTTGGTGAGTACTTGAACCTGAATTTTGCTGGGTACTTGAATTTCAAGAGAGACGAGCCGGAGCTGGAATTGCATATTCCAAAACTCTGAAGGGAAAAATGGCAAAAACAAAAGGTCTCCCTTCACTGTGACTCCTCTTCTCGGGCTGGTGTGGAAGTAGAGTAGTGGAAAATCAACTGTTAACGAGAGTCTAGTCAGAAAACGACACAGGGCCAAAAACGAAAGCAGAGCAGACAGAGCGAATTACAAACAGGAAAGAGTCAGTGGAGCCTAACAAACTTTACAGTTTATAGAGGAGAAGAGGATATTTAAGAGTGTCAGGAAAGATGGAGAGAAAGCTGTGTTATTGTGCCTGTGCGTTCACGTGTGCGCATGTGTTTATGTGAAGGGGGGTGGAGAGTGAGATGACAGCAGTATTAACAAAGGCCTAGTTAATTGGTTGAGATTCATTAATGCAGCAGATTTTCAATTTGCAGCCAAAACTGTGAGTGCTAAATCCTGGACGGTGTTTTCACATGCTGAACAATAAGTCGGTAATTACGACAGGAGCAAGTCGGTGGCTTTCTTCAGCCCTGACTGCGCCACATAAGGAACAAAACACGAGAGAGAGGCTGAAGAGATGCTTTATCAGATAGAAAGATTAAGGATAGTTGGAAAAGAGATTAATATAAGTTCACCCAAATATTTAAATTCTATCATTTAATTACCCACCCTAATATCATTTTAAACCTAAGGGTTTAAAGCTCCAAAAAAAAAACGGATTCTGGGTAAACATTTAATTTAGCATCAGCATTCTTGTTGTCCTCTGTGTATTGAAGTATCCTATTACGGTTTTATTTAGAAATCTTTCACAGTTCAGTGGGTGAGTGAGCTGAACAATGCAGACTGAATTGTGAATCGATTTTGTTAAGCTGTTCAGCCAATTCATTGAAAAGATTGATTCATTCACAAATCAGCCATTGCTAGTTCTGATTCTAAAAAGCCACCAGATATGACTTAATTACTTAAATATTGTCAGGAAAAAAATAAATAAAACAGTAGTGTTGCTAGCCTGCTAAAACATTTTTTTTTAGTCCCAAGCAAAATTATTTTTAAAGTATCAACATTATCACTTTGTTACTAAGAAATAGCTTTGCTATTGGCAGCCATGCTACTGCACTAGACTAACTTTCAAGGGATAGTTCATAATTTACTCACACTCATGTATTTCCAAACCTATGTGGGGAATATTTTCAGAAAAGAACTTAAAAATACTTACATTTCGGCCTTTTTCTCACATAAAGCTATAGTTTGTCTTCAAATGACATAAAGGAATAGTTCACTCAAAAATCTAAATTCTGTCATCTTTTAATCACCCTCTTGTCATTCTAAACCAACAAGACTTCAGTTCATCTTCAGATGATATTTTTTATATTTTCTCATAATTTTGTCCAAGTTCACATAACCATAAATTTCACTCATCAAAAAATTCATAAAGACATCGTAAAAGTAATCTATATGAATGGAGTGGTCTAATCCAAATGGTGTAACACTTTATTTTAAGGACCAATTCTCGCTATTAATTAGTTGCTTATTAGCATGCATATTACTAGCATATTGGCTGTTTATTAGTACTTATAAAGCACATATTAATGCCTTATTCTGCATGACCGTATTTTAGATCCCTTAATCCACCCTGTACCTAAACTTAACAACTACCTTACTAACTATTAATAATTCTAAAGTGTTACCATCCAAATCTTAAGAAGAGACAGTCACTTCATATGATTTAATTTAGTTTTATTAATATAGAACACGCATAGAGCACATCACATATGGTAAATGGAACCTCAACTGTACTTGCTTGACACACAAGAACCAACAAGGTCTGTTTTCACGTGTCAAGCAAACCCTTTAACAAAGAGTTATATGTACTACCTCTAAGATGCTTTTTTTTTGTCTTTTTTGTCTCTTGACAGCTCCAGTCCTAATTCCAAAAAAAGAACAGTCTGGACACTCTGCAAAAAATCTCCCTTTGTGTTCCCCAGAAAAAAATGTATTTGAGTTTGGAACGACATGAGGAAGAGTAAATGATGACAGAACTTTCATTTTTGGCAGAACTATCCCTTTACCAGAACAGAATCTGAGAAAGTGAACACTTGTGCCTTATCAGACAAGACTCAATCAGCAGAGAAGATATGTGCTTTATCACGTCACTCAAAGAAAAAAAAAATGATGCTTCATCAGACAGGAAGAGAGGTCCCTGATGACTTCAGTCTCCAATCTGCCACCAACCACGCAGTCTAAACTTGGAGATGAGTTCAAAGCATGCCCGTGCGACACTCGGTGGTGTGTGTGTGTGTGATTGTGCGTGAGTTTTGACTGAGCACTTTTCACACTGTAACAATAAGCAACCCTTGCGTCAGGGCATGAAAGAGAGTGTGTGTGCGCATGAGTTCTTACCGCATGTGCCGAGCGAGGCCGTGGCTGCGTGGTTCAGGCTGCTCTTCACATTGGAGGCTGCTGTGGATGAGGAAGAGGAAGAGGAGGAAGATGACGATGCAGAGGTGGCGGTGTGGACGGAGGCCGGGGTGGTGGAAGGCGAGGCCAGCCGTTCTCCAGACTCCATATCTGTCAAGCACAATCCAATCGATAATTAGAGCAAGCTCTCGCACACACACAAACAGCCTGCCACTCTTCCTTTCACATTTCACTTGCCATGAACAATATTTCTATTTAACACCAGTCAGTCACCTTCACACACACAAACACACGTCTGCTCGCAAGATGAACCAACCCCACAACCATATTTCTACAGGACCACACATTAATGTCCCGTTTGGGCAGAGGGTTTGTTCGGCTTGTCACGTTAACCATTCATTCACTGTTGAGACCTCCTTCAATATGATAGAGGAGAAACACACTCACGGATTTTCGCACACACACACACACACACACACACACACACACACACACACACACACACACAAAGTGAGCAGCACACTGATTTACAAGACTATTCACAGCCATTTTTACGCCGCATAAAACAAGCGTTCTCACACTTGATGTGCTTAACAGGCAAATTATGCCTTTAACTGTTTCTGTGGAGATTTCACAGTTTGGAGAGACGCATATTAAAGACAGTCGCACATAGCCAACATATACACACACAAAACCCCACAAGCATTCTCAAATTTATTTTTCTCTCCTCAAAACATACCATATCTGCACGTACTTTAAACGCCTGAAAATGTGATTAGCAGCCGTCAGCGTGTGATTCAAGCAGAAAAAAACTTGACTGCTGAAGACAAGTGAACTGTTTATGTGTTTGGAAATCTTCAGCTTGGATGCTAATCTCACGAGTAGATTTCGCTGTGGGAAGCGGCAGAGAGTGCCAAGGTATAGCACACATGGCTTTGTTATTCTGTCATTATATATAAACACTCGTGGCCTGTCCCCTGAGCGGCTCTCCTTCTTGTATGTCTCTGCTACACACACACACACACACACACACACATGCAGGCAAACACACACCGATTAGATCTCAGATATGGAAACGCCCACAGAATATCAACTAACAGCCCTCACCCAAGAGCAATGCCGAAAAACACACACACACACACACACACACACAATGAAAGTGTCTGCAAATTGGAGTAAACAGCGGCAGAGGCCACAATCTGCCACTGCGGTTGTTATCCCTCTTTTCGCTCCACCTGTCCTTCGCTTCCTTGTCTCTGCTTCCTAATCATTTCCCCTCACTCATACCCTGCCTCCAAAGGTCAAAGGTCACCAGGTCATGACCCTGCCAACTCAAGTTCATGGCAGATTACTCTAAAGCTTGAAATTCAACCCTAAATAATGCTGCTTAGTGCTCAGTGGAAAACAATGATTGAATTATACACAATGCTTGAATATACATTTATGTTCTTGGTGAAATTGCTGTGATGTAAATCACAAAAGGGCGCTCGGTCAGATAAGACATGCTAACACAGAAGTGAAAGTGAAAAGAATGTTGCAAGTCACTTCATACACACAAAAACACATACAGAAAACGCTATAAAGACTGAGCAAAGACTTTAATTTTCTAAAACGCACAACCATGTCTCAAACATAAGATATAAAATATAAATAAAATTTAAATTATATATTTAAAATAAATTATATTATATAATTCAATAGAGTGTAATTAATACAATTTAAAACATATTAAACATTTTAAATGTTTTCTGTTTTAATATATTGTAAAATCTAATTTATTCCTGTGATGGAAAAATTTCAGCAGAAAGAATATTGTGAAAAATCACTGCAATTTAAAATAACATTTTATTCTAATATTTTTTTTAAATGGAATTTAGTTATTTTTTATTTGTAGAATTTTCAGCAGCCATTACTCCAGTCTTCAAAGTCATGATTCTTCAAAAATCATTTTAATATGCTGATTTGCTGCTCAAGTAAGATTTCTTATTTTTATCAATGAGGAAAACAGTTGTGATGCTTAATATTTTTTGTGGAAACCATGATACATTTTTTCAAGATTCTTTGATTAATAGAAAGTTTGAATAGAATTGCATTTATTTTAAAGATATATCTTTTGTAGCCTCAAAAATGTCTTTACTGTCACCTTTGATCAATTAAATGCATCCTTGCTGAATTTAAAAAAAATAACAAATCTTACTGACCCCAAACTTTTGAATGGTAGTGTATTTACGTCATATCATCTACTTATCTCCAGCTACTCACTTAGCATGATTACCTTAAATATCAACACTAACAGATGAGGGTTTCAAAATAATTCATAACAACAACCATGATTACTGCAATAATGGTATGCTGGGGTATTTAAGGATCCAATCCTGACTTAATTATCAGAAATTAAAACAGCTTTAGCATCAGAATTAGTCTGATTTTATAGCTAATTATCCATCTTCCACTGTGGCACTGGAAGGCAGGCATCGTAATCTCCGTGAGCTGCATAATTAATTTGACTTGGTGCACGCGGCCAATGAGATTCTTGGAAAAAACAGCAGGACCCGGATCCTGTGAATAAGTGAATCATATGCTAATCGCAATCTGGGTGCTTTGCGGGATACGTTTAGTCCATGCAATTTGGACGACACCTTCAGCTCTCCAGCCAGCCAGGAGAAATGCGAACTCGATTCCCATGAACGTGCTTCCAGAGAGAGATACTACATAAAGCTGTGTGTTATTTAATTTACCCTGAAAATCAATCATACACTCCTGAGGCAGTGAAATATACTGCTGAGGTTGCTGTGTTTGGGAGAGTGTGTGTGATTTAAGTTTGTATGTGTGTGTGTGTGTGTGTGTGGAAAATCAGAGAGAAAGACAGGGCATAGAGTGTGTTTTTATTCATAATGCTGTGTATCTTTCTCCAAACGCGCACGTGATCCACACTTCTCACTTGTTATGGCCCGTGGTAACAGATGGCCAATGCTAGCCACGCTAATCTGCCAACAGAGTCGTCAGCATGGATCAGTGCTAATCAGAGCGCACCAGCAACCACACCGACACAGAGACTCCATTTTCTTCAACCAGGGCATGCTCAGCACAGGCCTGTCACTTTCCGGGTGACCTGTGGCAGGGGAACAGCGACCTTTGACCTCATATCGCTGCTAATTCCCAGATGCAGTGGCATAAACGCTCATTCCAACAACGGGTAAGTACACAGGACGCGGAATACATGCTATTTTCACAAGGGCGTGAGATTGTGGTTAACGAGTGTCCAAATACATCCATTATGACTCATTGATTGGTCGCAGCGCTGCGTCGCCATTGGCTGGAGCAGCTTTCCTGAAGCGTGAGATGGCTTCGCCTGTCGCAAGACATGGTTGCTTGGTGACACTGGCAGTCACACCACCGTCAGCGTCCCAGGATGCACAGAGAGAGAGAAAGAGAGCATGTGCGGCATCGTGTTAAAAACACCAGTCTCGAAATAAAGGAGGGGAGGGCGGATGGTGGGGAGAAATGATATGTGGGTGGTGGCCTGTACAAAGAGGTGTGGGATTCACCTTTCTTTCTTCAGCCGTCTCATTTGTGAGCGAGAGGGTATTAGATATTTTGTTTGTGTGTGTGTGTGTGTGTGTGTGTGTGTGTGTGTGTGTGTGTGTGTGTGTGAGAGTGTGTGTCCTGCCACATGGATGAATATTCTAGAGGTCTTTAAGAAAAGCAGGACGGCAGGGTCGGACTGATAAAATTGATTTCCGAGCACTAAAAGCTGAGGGTTTCTCCACGGCTCCGTGCATCCGTGTCCGTTCAAGCAAAATGGGAAATTCTACAACTCCGATCATGAGCCAAACCGGTCGGTTTATCCTAACGCAAGGAGACAGATGCCATTGATCACGTCAATGCGCCTTTCCACCGTAACGGACATCAGTCTTGTGCTACACAGTATCAGATAGTTGAAATTCAAAGGATGGGAACATGATTTAAAGCTGTAATATGTGTGAGTGTGTGTGTGTGTGTGTATCTTTGCGTGTTATGAGTAACCAGAGACCAGCAGCTCAACCACCCAAACAAAGGGCCCGTGACAGATGGTGGAAAGCTGCATGCTGGGATACTTCGGCCTTTCGTCCGTGAGCTGTTCTGTGGTCCAATGAGGAGTTACCAGATCCACTTCCACAGCAACACAGATCAGCAGATATACCGAGCGGATCGTCTGCCCAAACAATGCCACAAAAACAATGCAAAATGAGACCTGATGTCCACATGCACACACCGCTATCCTACAACCACTGTAAACTTTACACACCAAAGAGTATGTTAAAGGAAGAATTAACTTCTCTTCACAAGCAAAGAGGACGTGCAGTGAAATGGCAGATGCTTTTGTTCTGATCTCATGATCTTTCAGTCTTCTTAAAGTCAACTGGAAAGCATCACACACACATTCCTTTAGGCTGTCTGGTGCACACACACACACACACACACACAAAACAGAAGCTGCTGGTCACGCCCACACTTGTAGTTGTAGTAGTGCATATAAAGCGGCTACATTTAGCCCTAAGACAGGGACGGATTCATTCACACACACACAATCTCTCAAAGAAACTTTTTCACACACACACACACTGAACTACTATAACAGCACTGCGCTCTGCCTTGTAAAACTATATATTTATAAGAACTAATAAATCTATCAAATAAACAAGTTCTGATTTGTTGTGGCACATATGGGCTGTCACATTGAACTGGTGCTCATAAGAATGATTGAAGTTTGAATTCAGTTTACTTCTATTCCACTTGTACTATGTCAGCTATGCAAACAAAGGCTTTGAAATATATTACTAATGAAAAACATTACAAATTTTTTTTTATTATATTATTATAAATCATTATACACTACATTTTATATAAACTAAAATAAATACAATTTATAATGAAAAATGTATAAATGTATTTTATTGTAAATAATATGCTGCAAATTTGTTTAATAATAATAATAATAATAATAATAATAATAATAAGCAAAACAAGGTGTTGAGAAAAATATGTAAACTTTAAATTAATTTGTGTATTATTTCTAATAATAAATTATGAAACATTTTGTACAATATATTTTAAAGAAATTTTAAAATATATTGTACATAGTACATTTCTAATAAATATTTTTTTAT